CCCACAGTACCCATGACCCCGAATCCCGACAACCCAGTACCACGTGCGCAACAATTTGCAGAAATATTACAGGCAGCACGGACCCGAGCAAGAGAAGCAACAAAAAAATCAAACGTCATCGCTAAGCGCAATGCCGACCGCCACCGCCGCCCCGTCACTTATCAACCCGACGACCTGATATTACTCGACACTCAAAACCTCCGCCTACCCATCACACTAAAACTCCGCCCCCGATATTGCGGGCCATTTCGCATCAGCCACATGATCACCCCCGTCATTGCCCACCTCCTCCTCCCTGCTGACTGGTACGTCAGCCCGTCATTCCACGTTGGCCTGCTTCGCCCATATGTCCCATCCACCAGCCAACTGCCTCGCAATCGCCCCGCCAGCATGACACGTCCGCCGACAGAGCCAATTGTTGAAATATATTTACATATATTATTGTTAAGATAGTGGCACAAGTGGTAGTTAGGTTTAAGTGAGGGCCTAGGCTTAGTAGCCTAGGCCAAGGGAGTCGAGGGGGTTGTGCCAAGTCGAGAGAGTCGAGAGAGGAGAATGGAATGAATTCACTATGCAGAGGTTCACAACATATAGGGCAGGATAAGGGGGGGGGGTACACCACCAAGTAGGATATCAAGATAACTACACTAACGCTAGACCTACATGCAGTTATAACAGCATAATTCTGACAATTATTTATAATTGTCAGCAGTGTAGAGTGTAGTACATTTCATTTGCTGTAGGTGGTGCACTATGCTTCTCCTTGCTATATCTTGTACTGCCCTTTCTTAGTCAATCATCTTTTATTTGGCCAACTCTCACCTTTCTCTCGACATTCACCTTGGCTAGGGTTTCTCCTAAGCCTTGGTTCACCTGGTACTATTCTGACATGTTATCAGAGTGGTTCTAATCTTAGGACCTAATCTCAATGGGCCCACCAAACCTACCAACTCCGATGACGGCCTATTTTTCTGCTGCCTCGTCGCCCTGCCGCTGCAGCCCTCGCCGGACACCCCGTTGCCCCACGCCCCCCCCCGTCGCCTCGCGCCGTTTCGTCGCCCCGCGCCCCCCCTGTCGCTCCTCGCTGTTTCGTCTCCCCGCGGCCCCGTCGCCCGCGGCCTCGCCTGCACTGTCGCCAGTCCCGTGCACGCTCGTCGCGCCGCCCTTGCGCCTGCCCATCGAGTGCGCCAACGTCTGCCCGACGCGCTGCACCCGCGACCCCCTGGCCAGCCCAAAGCTTCCCCCCCACGCCCCACCCATCACGCCCCAGCATGTTACCCCACCCGCCCTCCCGTCGGCCCTGCTGCTGCTGCCGAGTTTGCTCCTGCCGTGGGGGGGGGGGGGGGGGAGGGGGGGGGAGTTGGGGGTGGTGGCCGTGAGTGGGGGTGACGGAGGTGGATGCAGCAGCGGCTCCCGCCACTTATGCTACTCGTGCAACAGAGGAGGGGGAGGGGGGAGGGTGTGGGGGTAGCGGGTGTGACCGGCCAGCAGCCATCCCTCCACCTCTTCTCTCTTCCCCCCTGCTACTCCAATTGCAGTGGGGTGGGGGGAGAGGGTGAGGGGGTGGCGGAGGGAGTGCGGTTCCGGGTGGCGGCTGAACAAGGGGGGTGAGGTTTAGGGGGGTGGCTAAAAGAGGGTGTGGACTTGGAGGTTCGCAAGAGGGGCTCGCCGCGCTTGGCTCCCCCCCACCTCCTCTCCTCCCTCTCTCACCCCCCCCTTTGTAAGAAGGGGGTTCGTAAGAGGGGCTCGCCACGCTTGGCTCCCCCCCACCTCCTCTCCTCATCTCGCTCTCTCTCTCTCCTCCTCCTCGCATGCCCTCTCCTACTTCTGCTGCACCTTGGTGTACCCCTTCAAGGAATGTTCTGTGTCAGAGGTCCACTGGTGATCCCCGATTGATCTTAGGGAAGGGTTACAGGCTCATTGTCCTGGAGGATTATGGGCGCACTGACCCGCTACTTAAAAAGCCATTTTATCCCAATGGTCTAGTGGTTGGGATTCTGATATGGTATCAGAGCGAAGGTCTCGGGTTCGAATCCCATTGTGTGCACTTCGGGCATCCCAGTGCGGGGGGGGGGGGGGGGGGTGTCAGAGGTCCACTGGTGATCCCCGATTGATCATAGGAAGGGTTACAGGCTCGTTGTCCTGGGGGGTTATGGGCGCACTGACCCGCTACTTAAAAAGTGTTGGGCTGAGAAAAGCCCTTAGGATCTTTCAAGGCTAAGACCTTTTGAGTAGGAATGTTGTAATTGCGGAAGCGTGATAATAATATTACGTGAACCACCTTGCACTAGTATGTGAGAGCAAGATAGATTGATTAAAGCAAAGAGATACAAGAATATATATGATTACAAAGAATACGAAGAGGTGCGATTAACTGTTTTTGCTGTTGCGGTTCGATACAGTGTCGACTCGGGCAATTGCTCAATACCGAGTCAGTTGTTTGTCCTTGCTGTCGCGCTGTATTTCGTTGAGTCAAAGGTCAGCGACCTTTGACCTTTGCGTAACCTCCAGCTGTTACGTTTTAATCTCCTTGGTTGACTTGCGCGTTGCTTCACTGTAGTTTGCTTTGTTCGTGTTATTACTTCGATACTTCAGAAGCGGTAACTATTTGTTTCCAACAAAAAACCATTTTATCCCAATGGTCTAGTGGTTGGGATTCTGACACTCTGTATATGGTTCTCATTGCAATCAATTAGGGGGTGTATTGAAATATATTTACATATATTATTTATAATTGTCTGCAGTGTAGAGTGTAGTAGATTTCATTTCCTGTAGGTGGTGCGTCATGCTTCTCCTTGCTATATCTTGTACTGCCCTTTTTTAGTCAATCATCTTTTACGGTATTTGGCCAACTCTCACATTCCTCTCGATATTCACCTTGGCTAGGGTTTCTCATAAGCCTCGGTTCACCTACTATTCTGACACCAATCATCACGCATGAAAAGATAATGAGCCACCGAGTTCGTGACCCACGGGGAGCCCGCAGGATCGAATTTCTGATCCGCTGGAAAGACCGCACGCCCACCGATGACAACTGGGTTTCCCTAGATAGAATCGAGAACCACCTTGTCCTCACTTAGTACCTGCGCAGTCGAAACTTTCGAGATGTACACGCGCTCTCTTAAGGAGGGCCTCCTTGGGGAGGGGGGTAGTGTAAGGAAAAATCCATTTCCTTACTTCGCGCCCCTGCGTACATGACCATTCCCGTCATCGGAACCCAACAGTGAAACGTTACCCGCTCGCGACACTCGCCTCGACTACGACTCCCGCCACTGTTCACGATGCGACCCAACCTCACGGTTCGGTTGGTAACCCGTGCTCCGGACCTCCGCCTCGACATTTCCCAACCTCGGCGCTAGGCCCGTAGTGCACCCCATTTTCTCGCGTTACCGTTACCACGCTAGCTCCGCTATATATTCTTTGCTCATGCCTTCACTCAATGTATTGTTTTGCTTGGATAGTGCAATTCTAGCTCGCTCGCTCAATTGCACTCGTAACAAAAGCTAACTCATTACAAGAGCAAACCGGAATTGGTGGGGATGTTGCTGTTCTCTAGTTTCCCATGCCTATGTTGCTGCAGGTCACTTTGGGGGGACCACACCACACCACATTCCATCACCATCGATAACGTTGTCTTTTGATCTCTGCGCACTGACGAGTCAGATTCTTCCACGGACGATACTAGCTTGTCCCGATGTCATTATCTTAGCCGTCGGTTCTGTGATCTTGGCATCCATTCCCTGAACCCGTTATTACCGATTACATGGTTGTGTCAATGTGGGGCTTGCGCATGGCTCAGGCCCAAACCTCCCCTATGCCGAACCAGCAACGCGGCTCCGGCCAACCGCAGGCTAGACGGCGGAGGCACGCCTCTAAACGCGGGCCCTGTAGTCGCTCCGGTCATGTACCAAAGCTTTCCCGCCCTTCACTCATGCTGTGGCGGAAAACGTGAATCCACAGAGCACACACAGGCGCAAGCGGGATGTGACCGTTGCTGGGGGGCGGCGGAGTCGCAAATTCGGCGCAATCAGGTCGGTTGAGAGGGGTGGTTCTGCTGAGTTCCGTCCTTCGGTTTAGTGTGCTTCGCGTGGCGTTCACAGTGTAACGGAGAAAGAGAGCCGTTTACTTAGAGTCTTTTCTTTCTGAGGTTAATTCCCTAGACTATCTCTAGCATACAAGGACATCCTTCAGACTTACCTGCGAGAATCCGCAAAGCAGGATCACCAGTGTGACGAATCCGCACTTCATCAACAACAGAGGTTTCAGCAGGAATTGGAAAGTTAGATCGCTCTCCGCCGTTAGATCGTTCTCCGCCGTTAGATCGCTCTCCGCCGGGCTCCATCTGGGCGACACCTTCGCATTCATCACGATCCGGTGGAAGGCAGCAGCGGACGGTCGAGATGGTGACCGTCTGTGAATAGTGAGCGAATTGTCACAGTCCTAAGCGACACATCCTGTCGTGTTGCGTTATAAGATGTCCCAAAACAGCTCTGGCGACATATCCCTGTCGTGTGGAGCTATAAGACGCTTTAAACTAGCGCTGGCGACATGTCCTGTCCCGATGAGCCTTATGCTGCGTTGGTCATCTCCTGTGGGAACTATGAGACTTTTTTTGTGTCATATGTTCATGCGGTGGTTTCAATTGTACTCCGATTGGCCTGGGTTCCCTGCTGAATGAACATTTCAGTCAATTTTACCCGTCATGCATGCTTCCCTTGATCACCTGGCTCCTGAGCCTGTCGCAGCTGCGTCTGTTTGTCATCTCACCACCTTTTTCTCCTTGTATATGCCCGATTTTCGTAAGTTGAATCCTGTAATTTCTCAGTTGAACCACAGTCCTCTGTGAACTCACCACACTCTTTTCCCGTTTGTGTCCTTTCTCATCTCTCTCCTCCCATACCCCCTCTGCCATCCCTCATTTCATGTACACGCGTTTTTTCACTCCTCCTATCCTCCATGGACGCGAATCATATCTCCATATCACGTTCAGCCGCATCCCCATGCCTCTTTCTGTGCAAGAGGTGAGCACCATTAATTTCTCTTTCTCCTCTTTCCCGCTCTCTTCCACTCCCGCTCCCTCTCTCACTCTCACTCACACACACAGACACGCTCATGTTTAGCCCTTTCTACTGCAAGACCTCCATTTAAACACAGAGATGTTTAAATCCTCCTCCTCTCCTCCTCTTTAATCCCCCTATCAATCGCGTGAAGGCACACTGAAACACTCTCAGCAGCCCCACACTTTTCCCCTCCCTATTATCGCCATTCGTTCCCATCACCTTGCAGTTGTTTCATCTCTTATAAACCCACCTCCTTCCTCCAGTTATGCTTGACTCCCCCCTCCCCTAATGCTTCTCGTCTTCCCCACCCCCCTCGCCTTACACCCTAACACCCTTCCACCTCACCCCTCCTCTCCCCCGCTCCCCCCTTTCCCCCCTGTTCCCCCTCTCTTCCCCTTTTCCCGAAAATTTCAGTACCGTATAGGACAGCTGTACATGGTGGTGCGTGTGAGTGAGAGGGAGAGTGACAATAGCGATGGTGACGGAGTGGAGGTGCTGTGTAACGAGCCCTTTAGCAGGCGGAGAGGGGGAGGAGGAGGAGGAGGAGGAGGAGGAGGAGGAGGAGGAGGAGGAGGAGGAGGAGGAGGAGGAGGAGGAGGAGGAGGAGGGGATGGATCAGCATGCACTGCTGCTAGCGGCAGCAGCAAGAGCAGCAGCAGCAGGGATAGCGGGAAGAGTGATGGGCCCAAGAACTTGGGGGGGCAGAGCGAGGGGGCAGGGACTGCTGTGATGAAGGATGGATTGCAAACTGGCTGTGAGGGAGAAAGTGAGGGGGGCGAAGGGACGGAGGGAAACGAAGGGGCTGGAATGGGTGATGGGAAGGAGAGGGAGGAAGGGGGTGATACAGAGGAGGGGTACTACACCCACAAGATTTACCACCTGAACAAGTGGGTGCCGATATGGAGAAAGGACGGTTTGAGTTGGCTGTCTGTATGGGAAACCGCTAGTTGTGCCGTAGTGCTGGTTGCTTGTGAGACCTTTTCCGCTTGTGATTTTTTTTTTTCCGCTTGTGATTTTTTTTTCCGCTTGTGATTTGTTTTTTCCGCTTGTGATTTTTTTTTTTTTTTTTTTTTCCGTTTGTGAAACATTTCCGTTTGTGATACCTTTTCCGCTTGTGAAACCTCTCCGCCCCTTGCAGCATACACGAACATGCTTAGTCACTCATGCCCTCACTCAATCTCTTGCGCTTCACGAACATGCTTAGTTGCTCACACCCCCACACATACACTCACTCAATCTCTTACGCCCACATTCACAGCACCTTTGCCCCGCTCCTTGCTCGCAATCCCTCCCCCCACCACCTCCCCCCCCGCTTTTCAGGAAGCTGCCGGCATGGATAGCAGCCCTGGTCCCCCGGCGGGCCCTGCGAGTGGAGGAGAAGGCCTGGAATGCGTATCCCCACTGCGTCACTGGTGGGTGAGATGGGTCTATTACCAGAGGGGAATACTCTTGGAACGTCTCACGAGAGGGCGTGGAATGCGTATCCGCACTGCGTCACCAGTGAGGGGGGAAGTACTTCAGAAGGGATTACTGTTGAAACGGGTTTAGGGTGGTTTGAGACGTTGCATATGAGCGCCTGGAATGTGTACCCACACTGCATTACTGATGAAAGGGGAGGGACCACCTTTGAGAGGGAGATGGAGAGGGAAAAGTGGTTAGAGTAAGACGGGGATTTGCTGTGTGTTGTTCTGCCTTCTTGGTTGGGCGCAGTACTTCTCCTTGTATTTCATGAGCATTTCTCAGTTGCTTATCATGAGTCTGTTTGTCATATGGCAATAGTGTCTTCACAGGGACGCACACACATGAGGCACATCATTTGTACCGTTTTATTGTGCTCTTTTTCCCTCCCTCCCTCCCTCCCTCCCTCCCTCCCTCCCTCCCTCCCTCCCTCCCTCCCTCCCTCCCTCCCTCCCTCCCTCCCTCCCTCCCTCCCTCCCTCCCTCCCTCCCTCCCTCCCTCTCTCCCAACCTCCCTCCCTCTTCACTTGTGTCTGTGTTTCTCCCCATCTTGCAACGGATGCGATGCAAACCCTACGGGGGAAATCCATGCGCGTCCCGCCGCGATCGTTTGTCCCGATTGAAACGACCAGAAATCACAGTAAGGCTCGCACTCTGTCCCCCCTTGTGTCGTCCTCCCTCCTCTTGTCTCCTCGTCCCTCCTCCTGGTTCTAGACTGACAAGAATCCGGTGGCTGTGCTGTTACAAACTGACTCGCTGCATGTTATAGGCCATCCGTTACCAGCTTGTCCATGCGAAATAGTTTTAGAATTAGAAAGGTTACTAGACCACCGTCGATTCTTGTGAACTTGTTATTGATTATTGATTACTGTGTGCATTAAGTTCTGTCTATCCCTATCAGTGTTGTTATAAGTATCATTGCCCTGCCTTATCATGCCAGCCCTAAGTCTGCTCCATGCCTCCTCTGTTTCTCGTCTCCCATCTTGCATCCCATCTCCCATCTCCCATCTCCTGTCTCTCGCCCATCATCCACTGCCATGGTATCAGAGCCCATTCTTTGGCAAGTTTATGCTGCGAGTGGAGTCACTCTACACCAACGATCACCACCCGCGCCACAATGTAACCACCTTGCCTTACCTCAACCCACAGCACCTCGCCCCACCTCACCTCACCTCACCTCACCTCGCCTCACCACACCGCACCTCTCTCTCATCTCATCCCCTGATCTGCTCCTATATGCGGTCTTATTGATCTTGCGAGTCATCCTTCCAGCTTTCACCCTCCCTATCCATCCTTCCTCTCAGTCCTCCCTCTCCATACACCCTCCTCCCCTTGTGCAACTCTCCCCATTCTTCCAATCCTACTGTTGCATCCTTCCAGGCCCTCTCCCTCCCACCTGACATGCTGGCACGTCGCACAGTGGAAACACTGGATATAACAGAGGGAGGTAGCGAGGAGGGCAAGACGGGGAGGGAACGGGAAGGGCTGAGAGCTGACGGTCAGTGTGAGGATGGTGCGATTTCCAGTGGGAGTAGCAGCAGCGGGAGCAGCAGCGGCAGTGGCGGCGGTAGCGGCAGTGGTAGTGGCAGCGGGGTGTCAAATCATCCGTCTACGTTTGTTTCGGCCAAGACTGGCAGAGGGCCTTTCAAGCCAGGATGGCAGGTGGGAGATGGCAGGGCAAAGGGGGGGATGGGAGTTTTGAATGCGTGCGTGTCTGTGCCTGGAGGGTGGGGTGATGGGGGTGGGCGTAGCATGGAGATGTGTATTTCTGTGTGCACGCGTGCGCGAATGCGTGTGTGTGTGTTTGTGTGTGTGTGTGTGTGTGTGTGTGTGTGTGTTTGTGTGTGTGTGTGTGTGTGTGTGTGTGTGTGTGTGTGCATAAACACCAGCTTAAGTAACACACGCTGATTATCTAATTCACGCCCACGCCCCCTCCTCCTCCCCCCGCAGGCGCACAGATCGCCCTTCCCCCTTCCCATGACAGCCTACAAAGTGGTCACAGCGAGTTTCTAAGCGTTCTCAAAGATTGATCCTCACCCTCCCCCTCACCCTCCCCATTTTTCTCCCCCTCCCCTCTCAGGCGCACAGCTCACCCCTGATGACAGCATACAAGGTGGTCACAGTGGACGTGCCTTACTCGTTCTAAGCCAACTCAACTCCCCGCTCCCCGGCGCTGCCTCCCCCACCTCCTTGCAGGCGCACAGCTCGCCCCTCATGACAGCATACAAGGTGATGACAGTGGACGTGCCCTACTGGGGCTTTGGCTCTCGCCTGGAGAAGTACATTGCCAAGGTCAGTTGAAGCTTCAGCAGAGGGGCTTTGAGACGTCTCAAAACTACACTTTTATCACGTAGTTTTGAGACGTCTCAAATCTCGCCTGGAGAAGTACATTGCCAAGGTCAGTTGAAGCTTCAGCAGAGGGGCTCTCGAGTCGACTCAACTCAACAGCCTTTTTAGGGCCTTGCCCTGAGAAGTACATTGCCAAGGTCAGTTGAGCATACGGTCTTGGGCTCTGGGTCAGGGGGAAACAGGTTCAGCTGCAAGGATGCAAGGCTGCTGCAGGCACTATCTGGTGTTTTGAGAAGTACCACTACAAGCCAAGATTAGCTGGAAGAGGGTCTCGATTGCTGCTAGGTTGCCAGCCTGCCTCCAGGCACACAGCGGTGCGTGGGTCAGGTGGGGTGGGGATAGTGGGGTATGTCCGTGTGTGTGTGCATGTCCGTGTGTGTGTGCATGTCCGTGTGTGTGTGCATATGCATGCTGCCTTCGTGAATGTACACATGGTGCCTGCACGCACCTCTGTGCATGATGAATGAATGCACACCTGCATGCGCACCTGCATCTCGCCATCACAGGTGCTGCAGAGGAGGCTGTGTCTGGAGACGAACCAGGCAGTGGCGTGCTGGATGGACGAGTGGATAGGGCTGTCAGAGCAGCAGGTCAGGGCCATGGAGGAGTGCACATTCTCTCGCATCAACAAGGTGAGAGGCCTGTGAGAGGTGCGGGGCCTGTGAGAGGTGTGAGGCCTGTAAACAGAAGGGTTGATTCAAAGTAGGTGCGTGTGGGCCATGGAGGGACGAGCACACATTCTCGCGCATCAACGAGGTGCGAGGCCTGTGAGAGGCTTGAGTGTACGAAGTAGAAGGGAGGAATTGGGAGTTTGATTATTAGCAGGTGCGGGCCATGGTTTTGAGTCGACTCAAAACAAGGCTTGAGTGTATCTAGTAGAAGGGAGGAATTGGAAGTTTGATTATTAGCAGTGCGGGCCATGGACGACCGAACATTCTTGTGCATCAACAAGGTGCGATGCCCGTGGACCAACGCTTTTTGAGAAGCTTGAGTGTAGAAGGGATGAATTGGGGGCTTGACTAGTAGCAGGTCCGATCCATGTAGGGACTATCAAGGGATGGGGGTTTAACTATCCTTGGAGGTGCGTGCACACATTCTCTCGCATCAACAAGGTGCGAGGCCCGTGAACCACAGAAGTCAACACAGCAAAAGAATCCGCGAAGCAACGCACTTGTGGTTAGTGCAGGGTCCGAACCGAATCTGAGGACTTACCAAAATCGTGACCCGCGCTACACTTTTTGCCGGCACGTGTCTGGGATCTTACCCTCCTCCCTCATACCTGCATGCCACACGCCATATGTGCTCCCCCATGCGCGCTGCGTCTATGCGCCCAATCACCAATGCACCCGTGCACCCATGTGTCTGTGTAAACAGGAGCTCAAAGCAAGGCAGGGAAACCAGAGATAGGCCTAAGAGGAGGACGAGAAGCAGTTGCAGCACCACCATTACCAGCACCAGCAACATTGCCACGACCAGCAGCAGCAGCAGCCTTTTGAGACGTCTCAAAAAACATTGCCCCGACCAGCAGCAGCAGCAGCAGTGGCACTGGCACGAGGAGCAGGATTGGCAGCAGTGATTTCACTGCAGCTGATCCCTGTCAAGTCATGCTCTCGAAGGACAACCAGCCAGATGACCTTGTGGTTCGACCACTACGAGGGGTAGGCTCGTCGTCATTATCATTCTTGCTATTGGATATGCAATGTGGATGCAGAGAATCAAGGATCAAGAAAGCATGTTTCGTTAGTAGCAGTTGGTTGGAATCTTTGTCTAGTACAATGTAGAACCTTTGTGACATGAAATACTGAAACAGTTTGGTTGTGCAAGTTTCAGTAGCATCAAGGTACATGTTTTTTGTTGCTGACTACTTTCGGGGTATTCCCTAGTGTGAAGTGCATGTATGCACTGATTGAAGGCCTTGTTCTGATACCAGTACCGGTACATCTCTATACTGTACCGAGAAGAATGCAACTTAGGCCACAGCAGTCAGTGTGCATCTCTGATGTGGTAACAATCACTTAACAAACCAAGATCTGTTTATGCAAAGTAGCGATAAGAATACCGTATACACAATTTACACTGAGGCTGGGTGTTGTGCAGTTACCACCACGACCCATCGGGCTTACGTGGCAGCCACCCATTGGCTGAGCTCTTGACAAAGCTCCAGTGATCCCAGCCTGGAGTGGAGTCACACGAGTAAAGGTACCACGGATTGCATTTGACAGGGTAGATAGGATACGGTAGGTGGGAGGGGGGAATGGTGTGGGGGAAGAGGGAGGGGGGAATGGTGAGGGTTTAGGGTAGGAAAGTGCGAGGAGGAATGGTAGGAGGAAGAGAGAAGGACAGAGGAGAGTGCGACTTGGACAGGTGAGGGAGGTGTGAGGGAAGATGGAGAAGAGGGTGAACGAAGGTGGAGGAGAGGAGGCTAAAGAAGGTTGAGAGAAGGAGAGGGAGCAAGGGAAGCAGGGCAAAGGGCACGCAGCGAGGAAAGAAAGCATATCAATTGCTTGTGGGAGTAAATTACACATGCCACATGCCACATGCCACATGCCACATGCCACATGCCACATGCCACATGCCACATGCCACATGCCACATGCCACATGCCACATGCCACATGCCACATGCCACATGCCACATGCCACATGCCACATGCCACATGCCACATGCCACATGCCACATGCCCACATGCCACATGCCACATGCCACATGCCACATGCCACATGCCACATGCCACATGCCCATCCATGCCACATGCCACATGCCACATGCCACATGCCACATGCCACATGCCACATGCCACATGCCACATGCCACATGCCACATGCCACATGCCACATGCCACATGCCACATGCCACATGCCACATGCCACATGCCACATGCCACATGCCACATGCCACATGCCACATGCCACATGCCACATGCCACATGCCACATGCCACATGCCACATGCCACATGCCACATGCCACATGCCACATGCCACATGCCACATGCCACATGCCACATGCCACATGCCACATGCCACATGCCACATGCCACATAATACATGCCACAAGCCACATGCACATGCCACATCGGACATGCGTATCCCTTTGTGTTACAGGTACGAAAACCCCTGCGATTGCAGGGGTGGCGCTGAAAAGCCCACGCACACACGCATGCACACACATACTTGTGTAACCAGTGTAACCACTCTGCTTTCGCAAAAAAACAAGGAATCTCACCCGAGATGTTGTGCTTGTAGGACCAGAAGAACCAGCCGGCCTTGGCTGTGGAGAAGGCTTTGAGCTGATTGAGGCCGAACTGCGCTGTCACTGAGGGGTCTGGGTTGCGCATTGATAGACACCACTCGCCCACTAGCACTGGCATGCCCCACTGTGGAGTGCGTGGGGGAAAGGAGGGGAGAAGGCTTTGAGATGGTTGAGTCCGAATTGGGCTGTCACTGAGGGGTGTGGGTTGTGCACTGACAGACACCACTTGCCCAGCAGCTCTGGCATGCCCCACTGCGTTCAGTGAGCGGGAGAGTGGGAGGGGGAAGAGAAATGTAGAGAGAAAGAGGGTGGTGAGGGATGGAAGGGAGAGGGGGGAGGGAGTGGGGAGAGGGAAGGTGGTGGAGGAGGAGAAAAAGTGGGTGGAGAGGGGGGTTGAACAAGAAGATGAAAGAGGAAGGATGATCAGGCCAAAAGAGCAGACAAGAAACACTGCTCCCTCTATTCATACAGGGTCCCCTCATCACACCCTCTCTCCCCCCACCCCACTCTTCCCTCCCTCCTCCCCTCTCTCCCCACTCTCCCTTTTTCCTCCTCTGCCTCCTTTCCTCCTCCCTCCCCCTTCAACCCCCCCATCTCACTGATTGCAACCCCTTGATTTCTTCCAGTCGGCCTCTCAGCGTCTCATCCACCTCCTGCTGCGGAGTCAGCCCCTCCCATCCATAGAACACATTATACATATGCTGCTCCAGCACTATATTAGTGTGCCATGTGCCATACAGCAGCCAATGCACCTCCCATATAGAGCTCCCCACGCGCCCCTCTAGAGCGATGTACGCGCACGGAGAGTACTTCCGAACGACATCATACGCGCTCTTATAGTACCAGGACAGGAGATCGATAGATATTCCCGACATGAGCCCGCAATTCCACGGGGCAAGAGGCTCATTCATTAATCCGAGCCCGAGGAAAGCCGGATCGGCGGCGTAACGCTTAACTAAGAACTCGATCATATCCAAAGTCCGCATGGTGTTGTTCCGAACAGAGAACTCGCACAGGCCAGATCTTCCCCCGGGAACTCGGAGGGTGAGATTGCCGGGCTTTCCATGATCCAATATCCCACGGGGATGCGCATGGTGTTGATCTTGTTGGCAGCCATGGTTTGGAAGTCGGATTCGGAGAGGTAGGCGGAGCGGAAGGAGGACATGGGCGCTGCTGCTGCCTGTGGCCCGCCCAGGGACTTGGCATGTTGTGGGTCGACTCAAAGCATGTTGTGGGTCGACTCAAAGCATGTTGTGGGTCGACTCAAAGCATGTTGTGGGTCGACTCAAAGCATGTTGTGGGTCGACTCAAAGCATGTTGTGGGTCGACTCAAAGCATGTTGTGGGTCGACTCAAAGCATGTTGTGGGTCGACTCAAAGCATGTTGTGGGTCGACTCAAAGCATGTTGTGGGTCGACTCAAAGCATGTTGTGGGTCGACTCAAAGCATGTTGTGGGTCGACTCAAAGCATGTTGTGGGTCGACTCAAAGCATGTTGTGGGTCGACTCAAAGCATGTTGTGGGTCGACTCAAAGCATGTTGTGGGTCGACTCAAAGCATGTTGTGGGTCGACTCAAAGCATGTTGTGGGTCGACTCAAAGCATGTTGTGGGTCGACTCAAAGCATGTTGTGGGTCGACTCAAAGCATGTTGTGGGTCGACTCAAAGCATGTTGTGGGTCGACTCAAAGCATGTTGTGGGTCGACTCAAAGCATGTTGTGGGTCGACTCAAAGCATGTTGTGGGTCGACTCAAAGCATGTTGTGGGTCGACTCAAAGCATGTTGTGGGTCGACTCAAAGCATGTTGTGGGTCGACTCAAAGCATGTTGTGGGTCGACTCAAAGCATGTTGTGGGTCGACTCAAAGCATGTTGTGGGTCGACTCAAAGCATGTTGTGGGTCGACTCAAAGCATGTTGTGGGTCGACTCAAAGCATGTTGTGGGTCGACTCAAAGCATGTTGTGGGTCGACTCAAAGCATGTTGTGGGTCGACTCAAAGCATGTTGTGGGTCGACTCAAAGCATGTTGTGGGTCGACTCAAAGCATGTTGTGGGTCGACTCAAAGCATGTTGTGGGTCGACTCAAAGCATGTTGTGGGTCGACTCAAAGCATGTTGTGGGTCGACTCAAAGCATGTTGTGGGTCGACTCAAAGCATGTTGTGGGTCGACTCAAAGCATGTTGTGGGTCGACTCAAAGCATGTTGTGGGTCGACTCAAAGCATGTTGTGGGTCGACTCAAAGCATGTTGTGGGTCGACTCAAAGCATGTTGTGGGTCGACTCAAAGCATGTTGTGGTCGACTCAAAGCATGTTGTGGGTCGACTCAAAGCATGTTGTGGGTCGACTCAAAGCATGTTGTGGGTCGACTCAAAGCATGTTGTGGGTCGACTCAAAGCATGTTGTGGGTCGACTCAAAGCATGTTGTGGGTCGACTCAAAGCATGTTGTGGGTCGACTCAAAGCATGTTGTGGGTCGACTCAAAGCATGTTGTGGGTCGACTCAAAGCATGTTGTGGGTCGACTCAAAGCATGTTGTGGGTCGACTCAAAGCATGTTGTGGGTCGACTCAAAGCATGTTGTGGGTCGACTCAAAGCATGTTGTGGGTCGACTCAAAGCATGTTGTGGGTCGACTCAAAGCATGTTGTGGGTCGACTCAAAGCATGTTGTGGGTCGACTCAAAGCATGTTGTGGGTCGACTCAAAGCATGTTGTGGGTCGACTCAAAGCATGTTGTGGGTCGACTCAAAGCATGTTGTGGGTCGACTCAAAGCATGTTGTGGGTCGACTCAAAGCATGTTGTGGGTCGACTCAAAGCATGTTGTGGGTCGACTCAAAGCATGTTGTGGGTCGACTCAAAGCATGTTGTGGGTCGACTCAAAGCATGTTGTGGGTCGACTCAAAGCATGTTGTGGGTCGACTCAAAGCATGTTGTGGGTCGACTCAAAGCATGTTGTGGGTCGACTCAAAGCATGTTGTGGGTCGACTCAAAGCATGTTGTGGGTCGACTCAAAGCATGTTGTGGGTCGACTCAAAGCATGTTGTGGGTCGACTCAAAGCATGTTGTGGGTCGACTCAAAGCATGTTGTGGGTCGACTCAAAGCATGTTGTGGGTCGACTCAAAGCATGTTGTGGGTCGACTCAAAGCATGTTGTGGGTCGACTCAAAGCATGTTGTGGGTCGACTCAAAGCATGTTGTGGGTCGACTCAAAGCATGTTGTGGGTCGACTCAAAGCATGTTGTGGGTCGACTCAAAGCATGTTGTGGGTCGACTCAAAGCATGTTGTGGGTCGACTCAAAGCATGTTGTGGGTCGACTCAAAGCATGTTGTGGGTCGACTCAAAGCATGTTGTGGGTCGACTCAAAGCATGTTGTGGGTCGACTCAAAGCATGTTGTGGGTCGACTCAAAGCATGTTGTGGGTCGACTCAAAGCATGTTGTGGGTCGACTCAAAGCATGTTGTGGGTCGACTCAAAGCATGTTGTGGGTCGACTCAAAGCATGTTGTGGGTCGACTCAAAGCATGTTGTGGGTCGACTCAAAGCATGTTGTGGGTCGACTCAAAGCATGTTGTGGGTCGACTCAAAGCATGTTGTGGGTCGACTCAAAGCATGTTGTGGGTCGACTCAAAGCATGTTGTGGGTCGACTCAAAGCATGTTGTGGGTCGACTCAAAGCATGTTGTGGGTCGACTCAAAGCATGTTGTGGGTCGACTCAAAGCATGTTGTGGGTCGACTCAAAGCATGTTGTGGGTCGACTCAAAGCATGTTGTGGGTCGACTCAAAGCATGTTGTGGGTCGACTCAAAGCATGTTGTGGGTCGACTCAAAGCATGTTGTGGGTCGACTCAAAGCATGTTGTGGGTCGACTCAAAGCATGTTGTGGGTCGACTCAAAGCATGTTGTGGGTCGACTCAAAGCATGTTGTGGGTCGACTCAAAGCATGTTGTGGGTCGACTCAAAGCATGTTGTGGGTCGACTCAAAGCATGTTGTGGGTCGACTCAAAGCATGTTGTGGGTCGACTCAAAGCATGTTGTGGGTCGACTCAAAGCATGTTGTGGGTCGACTCAAAGCATGTTGTGGGTCGACTCAAAGCATGTTGTGGGTCGACTCAAAGCATGTTGTGGGTCGACTCAAAGCATGTTGTGGGTCGACTCAAAGCATGTTGTGGGTCGACTCAAAGCATGTTGTGGGTCGACTCAAAGCATGTTGTGGGTCGACTCAAAGCATGTTGTGGGTCGACTCAAAGCATGTTGTGGGTCGACTCAAAGCATGTTGTGGGTCGACTCAAAGCATGTTGTGGGTCGACTCAAAGCATGTTGTGGGTCGACTCAAAGCATGTTGTGGGTCGACTCAAAGCATGTTGTGGGTCGACTCAAAGCATGTTGTGGGTCGACTCAAAGCATGTTGTGGGTCGACTCAAAGCATGTTGTGGGTCGACTCAAAGCATGTTGTGGGTCGACTCAAAGCATGTTGTGGGTCGACTCAAAGCATGTTGTGGGTCGACTCAAAGCATGTTGTGGGTCGACTCAAAGCATGTTGTGGGTCGACTCAAAGCATGTTGTGGGTCGACTCAAAGCATGTTGTGGGTCGACTCAAAGCATGTTGTGGGTCGACTCAAAGCATGTTGTGGGTCGACTCAAAGCATGTTGTGGGTCGACTCAAAGCATGTTGTGGGTCGACTCAAAGCATGTTGTGGGTCGACTCAAAGCATGTTGTGGGTCGACTCAAAGCATGTTGTGGGTCGACTCAAAGCATGTTGTGGGTCGACTCAAAGCATGTTGTGGGTCGACTCAAAGCATGTTGTGGGTCGACTCAAAGCATGTTGTGGGTCGACTCAAAGCATGTTGTGGGTCGACTCAAAGCATGTTGTGGGTCGACTCAAAGCATGTTGTGGGTCGACTCAAAGCATGTTGTGGGTCGACTCAAAGCATGTTTGTGGGTCGACTCAAAGCATGTTGTGGGTCGACTCAAAGCATGTTGTGGGTCGACTCAAAGCATGTTGTGGGTCGACTCAAAGCATGTTGTGGGTCGACTCAAAGCATGTTGTGGGTCGACTCAAAGCATGTTGTGGGTCGACTCAAAGCATGTTGTGGGTCGACTCAAAGCATGTTGTGGGTCGACTCAAAGCATGTTGTGGGTCGACTCAAAGCATGTTGCCGCTCTCCGTTCACCGGGTTCGTCTGGTGGGGTAAAGGGGGAAGGGGAAGGAGAGGGGAGGGGGAGGGGGAGGAGGTGGGAAAGAGAGGGAACAACAACAACGTTGGTACTTCTGTCCAGTAATTGGCAATACCCTCACAGACACCTTCGCACACACCCACACAGACCCTCACATTCACCCTCCCCCACCTCCCACACGAACACAGTCTCACCAGCTCGACTTTAAACACGGCTGCGGACTCCCAGCAAGAGGCCGAGGGCAGCAGTTGAGGGTCCAGGGCGGCGATCAGGAGGCCGGAGGTCCCCCTCACACTCCCCTTTCCCTCCAGCTTTTCCCCCCCACCCCCCACACCCACACTGCTGTCTCACCAGCTCGACTTTAAACACGGCTGCAGACTCCCAGCGAGAGGCCGAAGGCAGCAGTTGAGGGTCCAGGGCGGCGATCAGGAGGCCGGAGGTCCCCCTCACACTCCCCTTTCCCTCCAGCTTTTCCCCCCCACCCCCCACACCCACACTGTTGTCTCACCAGCTCGACTTTAAACACGGCTGCGGACTCCCAGCGAGAGGCCGAGGGCAGCAGTTGAGGGTCCAAGGCGGCGATGAGGAGGCCGGAGGAGGACGGCAGGAGGTATTTGCCGTTGGGGGCGAGGATGAGCGCGAGAGAGTAGCTGCTGGTAGGGTTGAACACGAACGTGAAATTGCTCCAGCCCTGGTGGTGGTGTGTGTGCAATGCAGTGCGAAAGGGGGGAATGAAGGGACGGAAAATTTGAGTTGATTGGTGCGAGGTGCTGCTGCTGCTCTTCCAGGTGCACGAGCGGTTACAATACACCAGGATGAGAGCTAGAGAGTAGCTGCTGGTGGGGTTGAAGAGAAAGGTGAAGTTGCTCTGGCCCTGGTGGTGGTGTGGTGGTGTGTGTGGGAGGGTGGTTGGGTATGTCAATATGGAATTGAAGAGCATAGGAGGAGAGGAGTGTGTAGTCTTTTGAGGCGCCTCAAAAGGAGGAGAGGAGTGTGTAGTGCAGACCATCCTGGGCAAGTTACTCACTCACTCTTTATTTACTCGCTCGCTCACTCACTCACTCACTCACTCGCTCACTCACTCACTCACTCACTCCCTCACTCACTCACTCGCTCCCTCACTCACTCACTCACTCACTCACTCCGTCACTCATTGTAACTGAACAAGCAGCCTACATTGGGTTGTGGATCCATGGATGTAGCCACCAGTGTTCCGTTGTCTGCTATGGACCAGTAGTGCAGGCCTTCCACTAGCACCTATCACATGCACACATGGATCATGGATGAATGGGTGCATGTTCACATATGTTGACGCATGCATACATATTCACATACGCATACATATTCATGCGTGCACGCATGTTCTTTCACACACGCACACGTAAACACATGCACACATGTACACGTGCACATGCAAGTGCATGGATGCATAACACGCATGCACGCATCCATATCAGAACACAAAGGCAGGAGGATTAGAAACGAACAGAGGCTGGGGGTTCAGAAACAGGAGGTTCCGGCAGCAAAACGGTGCACCGAACTCGAGAGGCAGGAGGAGGTTCAGAAACAAACGGTGCATCTGGATAAACTCGAGGCTCAAATGGCACAACATGTCAACAGAAGAAGTGTCGTGTGCCATTGTAACCAGGTGACTTTTGAGCCGACTCAAAAGTAGCCTTCGGAGCTCACATGGCATCACATGTCAACAGAAGGCGCATTATACTACATAATCACATGCGTACATGTCAGTCAACATGGCAGCACAATATCACCATACATCAGCACTCCCTGAAAACTCACACACGCATAGTCGCACATGGTACCATCGTTACCTAGGGATTGTCGATTCTCTAAGGCGCCTCACAATGAGACTATAATGCTTACCCGCACTGTACCGTCATCATTGAGAATGGCACAGTAACAACTTTCGGGCCATTCGCAATAACGATGGTGCTGTGCGTGCGCCTCACAATGAGACTCCAATGCTTACCCGCACTGTACCATCATCATTGAGAAGGGCCCGGAAGTTGTTGTACGTGTTGGTGCGGCTGGCCTCTGTGCTCGTGATCTGGTGCGCGTGGGTAAGGGGGGATGGGAAAAAAGGAGAGGCGAGAGGAGAAAGGGGGCTGGAAAGTTGTTGAGAATTGCTTGGAAGGGGATCTTTTTGAGAATTCTAAAAAAACACACGGATCTGTACGTGTTGGTGCGACTGGGCTCTGTGCCCGTGATCCATGACGCCATAGGTGGTGGACCAGGGGGATTGGGGGGGCCTGCGCGGACGAACTCCCCTGAGAGGGTGACCAGGCGGAGCTGGGAGGGGGGAAGGAGGGGGTAAGGGGATTGGAGGCAAGAAGGAAGGGCACGAGAATGGGATTGAAGAAGGTGGTTGTTTTCGCCGGGTTTAAACTCGGGAATGCGACTCTGAAGCTGCCGCGTGGCTCGATTGAGAATATGGTGGAAGGGTCAGAGCGCGAAGGAGTGGTGTCCATGACTCCGTAGGTGGTGGACCCTGCACGGACGAACTCCCCTGAGAGAGTGACCAGGCGCAGCTGGGAAGGGCGTAGGGGAGGGGGTGTGGGGCAGGAGGGATGGGAGGGGAGAGGGAAGGGGAGGGCGTGGTGTCCATGACTCCGTCCGTGGTCGATCAGGGGGCTTGGGGAGGACCTGAGCGAACGAACGCGTCGGACAGGGTGATTCTTCATCGTACAAGCAAAGCAACTGCCGCTTGTTGCTCACCTAGTTGGGCGCGAGGCCAGGAGCGCGCTCGACGCAGAAGAATCCTGGGGCGGACGAGCGGCTCTTGTTGCCTTGCCTGCGCTTCAGAAAATCAAGAAGAAGTGATTCGATACAAATTACAAGCGTTGCTCACCTGGTTGGGCGCGAGGCCAGGAGCGCGCTCGACGCGGAAGAAATCAGAGGCGGAGGGGCGGGTCTTGTTGCCCGCGAGAATGAACCCGGACCAGCTGCCGTTGCTGTCCGGGCCCCACCACGTGCCCCACGTGGGCGAGCGGATCTGGACCTGCGGGGCACGCGGACGAGGGATAGGAGGGAGAGAGAGAGAGAGGGCGAGAGGGAGAGAGAGGAAAGAGAAGAGGGGGTGTGAAACCTTGAAACGGCTCAAGACACCACGTGCCCCATGTGGGCGAGCGAATCTGGACCTGCGGGGCGCGCGGACGAGGAAGAGGAAATGGAGGGGGGAAGGACGGAACAGGGCTTTGAGACGGCATAAGTCACCACGTGCCTCACGGGGAGAGAGCGTATATGGACCTGTGGGGCGCACGATTGGGAACGAGAAAAGGGGGGCGGAAAGGTAGCATTGAGGCAAGTCAAAATACCTGTGTGAGAATTCTCAAAACTGCCCCCTGTTGAAGTGCCAACAACTCATTCCCTATCCTCCTCTCCCTGCCCTCTTTCCACACCCTCGCTCACTCCCTTCTCCTCCCCCCTTCCCCCTTCCCCCTTCCCTCTCCGCCTACCCGTGCGCCATGGGGCATGGCGGAGGACAGCCATTCGCTCTTCATCACCGCCTCCCCCTCCGCCGGTTGCGCCGCGCTGCTGCAGCACACCGTCGCGCAGGGCGTGTCCAGCGCGGACTGGGAAACGGGGGGAGGCGGAGACGGCGGAGGCGGCGACGGCGGGCGCGGCGGCTTCGGCGGAGGCGGAGAGGGCAGGCGCGGGGGCGGGCGCGGGGGCGGCCTCGGGGGCGGTCTTGGCGGCGGGCGCGGGGGAGGGCGCGGAGGCGGGCGCGGGGGAGGGCTGGGCGGTGGGCGGGGAGGGGGTGAGCGGGGGAGCTTGGGCCTCGTTTTGGTTGCGAGCGTCCGTGACGTAGCGCGTCGAAGGAACCGCGCGACGGATGCGAAGGGCGCTGTGAGTACTGTGAATGCAGTCGAGGTTGTAGATGAACCTCCTTCCGTCCCACGCGCCGAGGGCGCCAGCTGCTGCTGCTGCTGCTTCTGCTGCTCCTGAGGCGCCTCGAAAATAGACTGCTGCTGCGGCTGCGGCTGCGGCTGTTGCTGTCGACCCTCCTTTGGCCATTCGTGACCCTGCTGCTGCTGCTGCTGCTGCTGCTGCTGCTCGCGCTCGCGCTCGCGCTGGCGATCGTGTGATTCGTCGCATTCCGGGTGCGGCTCGGAGCCGTGACGGCATTGGTCGGACGGGACTGTGCTGCCGGTGACCCGCAGACCCGCCGGAAGGAGCGCGTCGACGACTAACCGGCGGCTGCTGCGGAGCGACGCGGCGGGATTGACGCTCGTGTCAGCACCGTGAGACGCGGCGGAATTGACGCCGTTTTCCACGGTCTCCTGGGGGGAAATCGAAGTGGAGTGCACGAGAGGAGCGTGCAGCAGTAGTAGCGCCGCGGAAAGCGGAAGGAGGAGGAGGGGGAGGAGATGGAAATGGTAGTGACGATCGCGGCCGCGTTGGTGGCTGTGGTCCAATTCTCTACCGCGAGAATCCCACCGTGATTCGCGGCATTGGCGTCGGTGCTCTCGTGGCTTCATCGTAGCGGAGAGCTACTACTTCTGACTTACCTCGTAACGTCCGACTCGCACTAAAATTAAAACCATCCGCCTGATCAACATGCGTTGTGTGGAACGAAGCCTAACTAGGCAGCTGTAGCCCCCAGGTTGCTAACATAAGCACAGCAGGGAAAGATTCTCTCGTGGCAAAGCACAGAACCGTGCATTATTAGGTTGTTGAATTGGAAGGGCAGGCAACACTCAGTCTCGTGCTCGCCACCATGCATGATTGATTTCCTTGGCTTTGGTCTGGCAGTGGTGGTGGTGATGGTCTGGCGGGCGAAGCATTTACGCGGTGGTGGTGGTGGGTGGCCTGGTGGCGTGGCGTGGCGTGGTGGTGGTGGTGGTTGGTTGGGGCGAAATGAACAGTGCATAACGAAGGAAGAAGGGAGGTGGAACCGTGGAGCTCACTGACGGCGCGGATGCAGCTGGAGGCCAGCTGAATACATCTGGCTGCCCGTCAGGTCGTGTTTCTGCGACTGGCTGGATTCCACTGGGTATGGATAGTCAATTTTGAGTGGGCCAGAAGTCCTGAATAGCTAAGTACGATTTTAGTTTACGTAAGGGAGACTGTTAGATGAATAACCAGACTGTATGCGCCACACGTGAGGATAGAAAATCCAATCTCTTTCAGCTGGATTGACCGACACACAAACACAAAGCGACAAGAGCAACGTGGAATTTGTTGTCGTCGCTAGGTGGACGGTCGGATTTATACCTCGCTATGGGCGTTATAGTCTTGTCCTAAATAACATTGTCGGTACAGTCCGATAATTTCATTCTCCTTTCTGTAACGTATACATTTGTGTGACATTTGGTGAAGAACTACTAGTGGGACAACATCAATAACAATATACGGATATGGTCCATAACATGAATACCGCTACCAATCTAAAGCTTGAATCCTGACAGCAGACCAATATACACCAAGTGTTGCTTCACATGGTGTTGCTTCACATGGTCTCACCCGCCCCCTCATTTCTTCACCTTCTGCGGCATACGTTGAATCACCAGCCTTCCACTGTTCGCCTTATCCCCAACAATCGTTTGGCACGACAATCGCCAGCTCTCGGGGCGTTTCTTCAAGAAACGATCCTCCGCCTCGGTCCGTCCGCTCAACAGCTCTGCACCCGCAACGACGTCCACAAGGCAGGTCCCGCAATTTCCCGCACCACCGCAATTCATGAGCGAACCGTACATGTCATACAGCGGAACCTTCGCGTCGACCATCGCACGTCGCAGATTCTTCTCTCCGCTCCCGATGATGACAATCTGGGCGTTAGCTGGAGGCTTCGCGGATGAATCCTCAGCATTGGGAGTTTCAGCTGCAGCTGCAGCCCAAGCAGCTGCTTCGGTGGCTGACGTGGCGGTGTCACCATCCGGGGGAAGGAAACACATATCAATGCTAGGAGGAGACGAGTTTGCGGCTGTCGTGGAGTCGACTGTGGTCCCTGCCTCTGAAGAGCTTTCAGCACGGGCTACTGATGTGACGAGGCGACGGTGAGATGTGAAAGCTAGATTGGTGGACGATAGTCGAAAAGTCGGTGTGTTTCTGGTGAGGGAGAGGGAGGAGGAGGGCTTGGTGGGATACACGCTGGAGAGAAGGCCGATGGAGGATGTGGCAGCCATGGTGATCAAGTTCTGGGAGTGCTCTGCCTCCTAAACTTGGCGTACAAGGTAGACTGTCGGGCTGTTGATATTAGTACGAATGAAGTATTGAAGTGTTCAATCTCCAAACGATGTTGGCTGAAGTGTGTGTTTGGGACATGGTTGTCCAATAAAATCGCTTGGCCACGGAGTGACAGACTTTCTGGAAAATGGGTAGCGTTAGTGGCTAGAAGATGCGCCGACGTGTTCGGTCAAAACGCAGCCTTCCAGGTCTACGTGGAGGCTGGTGAGAGTGTTCGATGTTCGATATAAGCGTCTGTGTAACTATGAACAAGGATGTTGGTGCACCCGACCTTCTTCACCATAAAGACTAACGCTTTAATTCTAGTGCAGTTTAGCTAGTTACTAGTGCGTGTGTGAATCACCGAAGCTGGAACACAAAAATGAATCATGCTGTAACTGGTACACGCAGGAGAAGCCCACAAAAACTGGCCGTCCCTTGCACTTACCTCCCACCTGCTGAATGCCGGGAATGGGGTACCATACAGAAGTATCAGAAGGGAATAGGGAATTGGATTTGGGGTATGGTTGGGTTGGGTTGGGTTGATTGGGGGAGGGCGGGGGGTTGAAAAACTGTGGGAAGAAACCCACATGACCCCAATCAGCATTCCGCGAAGGACAGGCGGGATGGTTACAAGTTGAGTAGGGTTAGGATCAAACGCCCTCGAGAACATTTTTACCAGGTTGGAGTTTGATTTGTAGGTTTTAGAAACGATGAGCTTAGTTACAGCGCGGTATCAGATCGATGTTTGGCCCTCCGTCCTCTATTTTGCCCTCGAATAGCACTTCCTGAACTGCGTCCAACCCGAACTTATTTGAACACTGCCCCATACAACCCCCAATTTCACTTCCTACACCTGGGCCTGGACCCCCTAGCGTCTAGCAATAGAGTCTTCCATGGTACTTTCTAATTTACAATAAGCGTCCTGCATTGCCTCCAGGTCAAACACTATCACAGTTTCCGCCAGCACATCCGTGCCCGTTATGCGGGGATCGCTGGCATGACTCGCCAAATATCACCAACCGGTTTCTTCCGGTTCCAGTAGCCTCCTTTTAATAATCGCTTTTTACAACGCGAATATCTGTTTCAATCCATTTCGCCTTGAACTGCGGTTTAACGCCAAACAAATAAATCCAAGCATTCTGGTCTGAGGTCAGTTGCCTTCATCTTCTCGTCGCGAGCGGCTGAGAGGAGTCTGCAACTCCAGCTATTTTCTTCTCTACTGTTATTTGTTTGTTTGTTTGTTTTTTTTTTTAATTGTTTGACTTAGACGTTGAACATTGCCGTCGCTGCACCTCCCGACGAGCACCAACTTCCTGTTCGTATCTTTACTTTCCATTCGTCATTTCCGTCATTCCAAACTTCACTCTCCCATTTCCGTGGGTACTACTCCCGATCGGACGATTCCGTTCTTCAGAAGATAAGAACTAACTTCAATCTCCACATAGCGCCCTTAGAAGTGTCACATTTTGTCGTCCTCGCCTTCTCGTTGCTTCTTCCCACGTTTCTCCTCCCGCGTGTATCAGCCAGACCGCTTTTCTTCGTGCGTTGGGCTTATCTGAAGAGCTCAGCACGATCCGAATGGGGGCGAACCAGTCTGTCAACGGCGACTCGGATTCAGGATCAGATGAGGAAGAGGAGACGCGGAGAGGAGAGGACGAGGAGGATGAGGGGGACGAGGAGGAGGAGGATCGCGGCAGCGCTGATGGCGAGTCACGCGAAGGCGTAGACGAGGACGAAAAGCCGCATGGTGAACGTCGCGGGAATTTACCAGCAGGAGGGGAACGGGGAAGGGGTCTCGTGGGACAAGACGGAAGGTCTAGGGCGGTGGTTGTTGCGCGCCGAGGGCTTAATTCTGAGTCCAGTCAATCGGCGCAGCCCCAAAAGCATCAATACTCCGACAATTCGAAAGACCTAACAGCAACCGGTTCAGGAGGGAGGCTGGGTGATGCAGGGCCAACGCATGGCCTGAATGGAAATGGCACCAGGGAAACCAGGAGCGCCAGAAGAAGCGCTGGTGACCCTTCCAGTACCAGTGCTGCTGCTGCTGGTGATGGCGATGGTGCTGGTGCTGGTGCCGGTGGGGTGTTGCTATTGGAGCAGGAACCGGAGGTAAGTCCGTTTCGGCAGTCTCAGCTGCCAGTGGAACCACAGCATAATTCCCCTCAGTCCTCTCTCTCCGACCCCACACCCCCTGACATGCCGCCTTCTGTCCGCCTCTTGCCTCCCACGGCCGCCCCCGCTGCCGTTGCTGATGCTGATGCTGGCACTGCTGTTGGTGCGGCATTGGAAGGGTTTGTTAACAGGAGAGTGGGTGCTGATGCTGCAACCGATGCCAGCTCCGGCAGTCGCAGCCGTACCAGCAGCGCGGGAAGCAGCAGCAGCAGCAGCAGCGATGGTTTTGGCGGGAAGCTGGGAGGGGAGAGCAGCGATGGCGCTGAAAGTCGCAGCAGCGTGAGCCTTAGCCCCAGTGGTGTTGACGGTGCCAGATTCGCCACCAGCCGGAGTCTCGCCAGTAGCTTGGGAAGCCCCGAGGAGCTTTCGCTGAGTCACATGCTTAAGCCTAGCCCCGCCGTTGTTGACGCTCTAGCAGCGATGGAGGGGGAAGGAAAGGGGAAGAGAGGGAGAGCAGGAGAGAAGGAACAGTGGTTGTTGGCTGCTGAAGTGCTGGTGAATCCAGTGAGTAACGGAGTTATTGTGGCGGCTGTTGGGGTGACGGGTTCAGATGATCCTGCTGCGGCGAATGATGCTGCTGCTGCTACTACCACTGCTGTTGCTGCTGCTGCTGGTAGCAGTGGTGGAAATCTGACGAATGGGGAGAAGCAGGAGGAGGGTAGTGGGCAGGGGGGAGCAGCAGCAGCAGGAGAGGCGTCGCAGGCGTGGCAGGGGTTGATGGATGCACAGGTTGATGTGATGAGCGTGTCCCGCCCGCTCTCCTCGCACCCCTTCCTGCACGCCTCCTTCACTCCCAGCGACTACTCCACTGAGTTCTACATCATTCGGTGAGCGAGACATTCTCCCATGCACCCTCCCGCGCACCCTCCCGCGCACCCTCCCACGCACCCTCCCACGCACCCTCCCGCACACCCTCCCACGCACCCTCCCACGCACCCTCCCGCACACCCTCCCACGCACCCTCCCACGCACCCTCCCGCACACCCTCCCGCACACCCTCCCACGCACCCTCCCACGCACCCTCCCACGCACCCTCCCGCACACCCTCTAGCGCACCCTCCCACTTTGGAGACGCGTCAATCCTTCCTGCACACCACCTTCACCCCCAGTGACTACCCCATCGAGTTCTACATCATTCGGTGAGAGACATTCTCCCACGCACCCTCTAGCACACCCTCCCACTTTGGAGACGCCTCGGAATTCCTTCCTGCACACCACTTTCATCCCCAGTGAGTTAGTGCCTACGTCCCTGACTTCCACATCATTCGGTGAGTTAGTCATTCTCCCATGCACCCTCCCACGCCCCCTCTCACATACCCTCTCACGCATTCTATAGCGCGAATCACCATGCACCCCCCAAAATGCCCTAAACCCCCCCTGGTTCCCCTCCGCTCGCCAGGCACGGGGAGGCAGCGCACAACGTGTCATCACTCATTGGAGGCCGCTCCCATGACGCCCCGCTCACAGCGCTGGGGCAGCAGCAGGCGAAGCTGCTGGGGGCGTTCCTGCGGGACTACGCGGGGTTGCGCTTTGACGCCATCTTCTCCTCGCCCATTGAGCGCTCCAAGCAGACAGCTCTCATCGTCTGCCAGGTGCGTGCCGTGTGTGTGCAAGGTGCCGCGTGCAAGATGCGTGGTGGTGAGTTTTGAGTCGATTGGAAAGTCACCTGCGAGACTACGCGGGGTTGCGATTTGACGCCATCTTCTCCTCGCCCATTGAGCGATCCAAGCAGACGGCCCTCATCGTATGCCAGGTGCGTGCTGTGTGCGTGCTGTGTGCGTGCTGTGTGTGTGCTGTGTGTGTGCCGTGTGCAAGGTGCCGTGTGCAAGGTGAGTGGTGGTTTTTTAAATTAAACTGATGAGTCACCTGCGTGACTATGCGGGGCTTCGCTGCGATGCCATCTTCTCCTCGCCCATTGAGGGATCCACACAGACGGCTCTCCTCCTCTGCCAGGTGCGTGGCATGACATGTCTACACCTTGGCATGTAGGTAGGATTCATTCAGTGCCGCAGCTGACTCAAGTGCATTGTGCAAGACCCAAACAAACGCACATCTACCTACTCCCTTCAGTTCTTCGTTCAGTTCTTCCTTCTCCCTCTTCAGTTCTTCCAACCTCCTAGCACATCTACAGCCACGAACCCCATTCTGAGGCAACTCAGCGCGCAGCTCACTCTCTTCCCTTCTCCCGTCTCCCTTCCCCTTTCTCCCTTGACCCTTCTGCTTTCTCGCTCCCCGCCTTCCTCCCCCTACCTCCACCCTTCCTCTCTGCAGGAGATAGGGGAGGCGGAGAGCCGAATTCAGTACTCGGACGAGCTGCAGGAGCTGTCGCAGGGGTGATGGGCTCAGCAACAGACGAGCAACAGACGAGCAACAGATGCACCCCTTTACTCTTCTCTTTCTCCCTCCTCCCCGTCCCCTCTTCCAGGAGATAGGGGAGGCGGAGAGCCGCATTCAGTATTCGGACGAGCTGCAGGAGCTGTCGCAGGGGACGTGGGAGCGGCAGCCGCGGCGGGCCATCTACCAGCAGGGCGTGCTGGAGCAGATGACTGCCGCGCAGCCTGACTTCCGCGCCCCTGGGGGGGAGTCCCAACGCCAGGTGGGTGGGGGGAGGGAGAGATGGAGGAGTGAGAGGGGAGGGAGTGGGGAAGCAGGCGGAGAGGAGCAGGGGGAAAGTTTCTTTGTGTCTGTATCTGATGTTAGTGTGCATTAGGTTGTTGGTGATTGTTAGTTGGTGGGCTTGGAAGTGGTAGATTTGGGGAGGAGAGTTGGGAGGGAGAAAGGGCAAGCGCAAGGGGGGAAATGGGGTGAGAAGGGGCAGGCACAAGGGCAAATGGGATTCGCTGAGTATTTACGCATCTTCCCTCTCTTCCACAACTCTCTCTCTCCCCCCCTTCTTTCCCACCCACTCCCCCTGCAAACACGGCTTGCCACCCTGCCTATCCTCACATCCTCTCCTACATCCCCTTCCTTCCCCTCCCCTCTCCCCTTCCCTCCCCTCCCCTCCCCTCCCCTCCCCTCCCCTCCCCTCCCCTCCCCTCCCCTCCACTCCCCTCCCCGCCCCTCCCCTCCACTCCCCTCCCCGCCCCTCCCCCACTCCCCTCCCCGCCCCTCCCCTCCACTTCCCTCCCTCTTCCCTCCGCTCTTCCCACCTCTCCCCTTGGTCCCCTCGGCCAGGTGGAGTTCCGCATGGTGGAGTTCATCAGCAGTGTGCTCTTCGCCTTTTGAGGCGTCTCAAAACTCCCCTCCCCTCCCCACCCCGCTGCACTCTCGCCCTCCTCCCCTCGGCCAGGTGGAGTTCCGCATGATGGAGTTCATCAACAGTGTCCTCTTCGCCCGCCGGGCCACCACCTCATCTCCTGAATCGAATCAGTGGTCCTACCTCTCCTCCCCTTCCCCGCTCTTCCCACCTCTCCCGCTATCCCTCCCAGGTGGAGTTCCGCATGGTGGAGTTCATCAACAGTGTCCTCTTCGCCCGCCACCACCTCATCTCCCCAGGCCCCGCCGCCCTCGCTGCGGCTCACTGCCTTGGCCTCCACACCAGCCACTCCGCACCTTCCCTGCACGTCCTCGTCTCTCCTCCCCCCGTCGCTTCTTCCTCCTCCTCCTCCTCCTCCTCCTCCTCCTCCTCCTCCTCCTCCTCCTCCTCCTCCTCCTCCTCCTCCTCCTCCTCCTCCTCCTCCTCCTCCTCCTCCTCCTCCTCGTCCTCCTCCCCCGCTTCCGCTTCTTTTCCTTCTGCTTCTTCTTCCTCCTCCTCCTCTGCCTCCGCTTCTCACTCGTCGGCTTTGCCGTCCGCCTCTGCCCCGTTCTCTTCCACCTCCTTTTCCTCTTCGTCCTCTTCCGCTGGTGCCACGCCTGCTAAGGATCGCCCCCCACGTGCTCCCGTGGGAGCAGGTGGAGCAGGAACAGCAGCCGCAGCAGCAGTAGCAGCAGTAGCAGTAGGAGTAGGAGCACCAGGTGGGGATGCAGGCAGCATTGGCGCTACCAGTGGTGAAGCTGGAGCAGCCAGCGCCAGCAGTGTGAGCAGCAGTGTGAGCAGCAGTGTGAGCAGCAGTGTGAGCAGCAGCACTGGAAGCCACGGAAAGGGGAGCAGTGTGTTTCGGGTTGCAGTGTTCTCCCATGGTACTGCTATCCGCTGCCTGCTTCGGGGTCTGCTAGGCTCCAATCCCCACCTGACTCAGAACATTGGCATTGACAACACTTCCATCACTCTGCTGAAACACACGTCTAAGAAAGGGTGGCATCTGGTGAAGACAAACGACACCGCCCACCTAATTATTGCCAAGGGTCCGCTTTCCGCCCAGCAATCCTGCTAGTGATGATGATGATGGTGATGAATTTATGGGGTTCAAGAATGACATGCATAATGCTGGTTGTACTGCTGATGATGCCGCTGCTGCTGGTGATGGTGCTGCTGGTGATGGTGCTGCTGGTGCTGGTTCTGCTGGTGCTGGTGCTGCTGGTGGGCTCGATTCTGCTTCTGATTGGGCTGCTACCTTACTTGACAGGGTCACCTGTTGCTCTGGTGATGGTGCTGCTGCTAATGTTGCTGGTGCGGTTGATGCTGCTGCTGATGTTGCCTCACCCTGTTCCTCTGCTTTCTGGACTGCCGTTTCAAGTCGTGCCCCAACTGTGTTTTGTGTCTTTTCAACAATAAATACATGGAGTGGAAAAGGTATTTTCTCATGAGAAGCTACTCAACCAAAACATAGGCACAGAACAGAACACTGCATAAGTCTTTTGTGAGTGTACCTTAATGCATTACATTACAACAGAATATTAGTCTTTTTGTCTTGTCAACACAACAGGATGATTTGATATAAGATATTGCGCAGGTGTTTTTGTGTAGCTACTGGCCGAGTACATTCTTAAGCCTCCAGAAATTTATTTAACGAACCCACAAAAAGTTATTAAATGGAAATTATTACACTAAATCAGTTTCACTAGAGAATAGAGACAACACACTACTCGGCGTACGGTAAACTTGTAGTGACGCCACTGCTGGGATTCATTCTTTTGGTTCCCTGCAAAACTGAACATGGAGCTCGCTGTGTCACCCACTTCCCCAGAGCCTACAAAAATGTCAAACTCGTCTCAACCCTGCATAGTCTCAACTCTCGATCATCAACCCCTGAGCACAAAAAATGATGAACCAGTGTTGCGTACGGAGACTTCACTTATGACCCACCCAGCCCAACCCAACCCCCTCTCTTCAAAACATCACCTTTCAATTGTGAGAAGTACAAGTGGAGTGGTACGTTAGTGCTTAGATGAGACAGGCAGGAGAAAGGGGTGACGTCAAGAGACGGAGGTAGAGGCTGAGAGAGACTTGGTGTCACAATTCATACACAGAAGATGGTCGTGCAGTGAGTGAGAGGATAAAGGCTCGAGATACGACACGGCGTGAGAAAGCAGAGACTAGGGGTACAGAGTTTGCCCGCACAGCCGGTTGGGTTCAAAACATTGGGATGGTCGAAGGGGAGGTGTGCTGCATTGGTTGCTGCTGGCTGCTCATCTGGCTCTTGCTGTTTCCGCTGCTGCTCCTGCTGCTGCTGTTGCTGTTCTGCTGCTGCTGTTGCTGTTCTGCTGCTGCTGCTGCTGCTGCTGCTGCTGCTGCTGCTGCTGCTGCTGCTGCTGCTGCTGCTGCTGCTGCTGCTGCTGCTTTTCCTGTTCTGCTCCTGCTACTGTGTGGGCTTGGTGCTGCCGCTGTTGCTGCCGCTGTGGCTGATGCTGCTGGTAATGGTTGGGCTGTAGAGCTTGAGTAAGAAAAAGTGTGGGGAAGGAGGTGCATGTAAGGAAGAGTGGGAAAGCTGGTGAGGTTATAAGGTCATGGCAGTGACGTGAGATTTCTGTGTCGAGTCAAAGGGCAAGGCACCTCATTACAATGGCACATGAAACCTGGTGAAGTGAGGTTGAGGGATCATGACTGGGATGCAAAAATGCAATCCGCATGTCACGTGCGGGAGGATGTGGAGGGGTGGTTTGGATCGCGCTGAAGGTTCGCTTCGGCATCTCAGGTCCGGACAGGCAGGGTTCGAATGGTAGGTTCAGCATGGGAGGTTTGGACAGGCTGGTGCTTGCTGGTTGATTGGCCCTGGTGAGTTGGCCTGGAAGGTTTGGAGGTATGGGTTTGGAATGGCAGGTTTGGAATGACGGGTTCGGAATGGCAGGTTTGACAAGGCAGGTTTGAAAGTACAGGTTTGGCATGGAGAGTCTGGATAAGCAGCTTTGGAATGACAGGTTTGAGATGGCAGGTGCATCATGGTTGGTTCAACATTGTAGGTCGGGCATGGAAGGTCTGTATGGCGGGTTTGGATGTCAGGTTTGGCAGGCTTGGAATGGCAGGCTTGGAATGGCAGGTTTGGAATGGAAGGTTTGGAAGGGCAGGTTCGGAATGGCAGGTTTAAAATAACAGGTTCGGAATGGCAGGTTTAAAATAGGTTTGGAATGGCAGGTTTAGCACACAAGATTCTCCACAGCGCGATTGGCATGGGCTGGAATGGCAAACAGGGTGTGGGAGGGGGTGGAGACAGGCAGCAGCAGCAGCAGCAGCAGCTGAGGGAGCAGCAGAAGGAGCAGGAGCACCAGAAACTGTTACAGCAACACCACCAGCACCAGGAGCATCACCAGGAGCAGCAGAGAGAGCCCCAGCTGCTTCCACAGTAGGATAGCTGCTGAATAACTAATGCTGTCTTGGCTCCACCTGAACAACTATCCCCTTCTCCCCCCACCCATCACCAGCAGCACTTTCCACTAGCACACAAGATGCTTGCTCCTACCTCCCTTCCCCAAACCCTCTCCCATCCCTCCACCCTCTCCCTTCCCTCATCCTCTCCCTCCTGCCATCCTCGCATCACCGCTGCTTCGGCTTGGGCCTGAATTTGGGGGGCATGCCGCCCCGGAAGCGGCCGGCAGACATGGCGCCACTGTCGCGCAGAAAGGACTCATAGGACGAGGCCATGCCCTCGTGATAGCACCTCACTATCTCCTCGTAATCCCGAGCCACGTCCTCTGGTGTGAGGTCCGGCCGACCCTGAGAAAGAGGGTGAGGGGGGAGGAAGGAGGGGTCGAAGGAAGAGGAACGGGAGCGATAAGAGCAGGGATGGGACAACATATAAGTCTTGAGGAGTTCTGGAAGTTGGAGGAGGGGGGGAAGTGCTGGAAGCGGCCGGCAGACATGGCCCCGCTGCTGGCCCGCAGAAAATACTCATAGGACGATGCCATGCCCTCGTGATAGCACCTCACTATGTCCTCGTAATCCCTAGCCACGTCCTCTGGCATGAGGTCCGGCCGACCCTGGGAGGGAGACGGGGAGGAGGGGGAACGGGGAGTGAAGGAGGTGGGGTGAGAGGAGTGGGGGCGGTAAGAGCAGGGAAGGGACAATAAGAGTTTTGAGGAGATTTAGGAGATGTATGAGAGAGGAGTGCCGAGGTGAGGAGGGAGAGGAAGAGGGCGAGGGAGAGGGGGAGGGAGAGGGAGATGCAGAGAAAGAGAGAAGAGGGAGAGGGAGAGGAGAGGGTGAGGGTGAGTGAGTGAGAGGATGAGAGCAGGAGGGTGAGAGGCAAGACTTACCATGCCAGCAGCAACGGAACCAGCAGCAGCTGCAGCCGAGGCTCCCCCTCTCGACCTAATCCAGTCAGCCGATCTCAACCGTCGATCTTCGTTCAGCATCAACGCTGCTGTAGCACCCAGCAAGGGCACCCCTCCGCCACTCACCCCCACACCACCATCCCCTCCCCCTCCCATCCCTCCTCTCCCATTTTCATCCCCACCAATCCCAGCACCAACACCAGTGCTATCTGTTATCACCCCCCCTCCGCCCTGACCCCCCCCTCTCTGTGCCACCCCCATTCCCAACCCCCCAAAAGGGGTAAGGGGGTTAGCAGTGGCGGTGGCTGCCTCTCTCTCTGCTTGTAGCGCGCGGAAGCGGAGAAAGACCGGACGGAGGAAGGAGAGGAGAGAGAGGAGGAGCGCGAGGGAAAGCGACGCAACAAGAGAGACGAGAAGGGGCCCTTTGAAGAGGGTGGGGTGGGAGGAGGAGGAGGAGGAGGAGGAGGAGAGAGAGCAAGGGGCGGTGGTGGGGTGTATGGGAGCAGCAGCAGTGGAAGAGTGCCATTGCTGGGGAAGAGAAGAGTGAAGGGAGGAGTAGAGGGAGGAGACGGTTCCCTTTATGCAACTCCATGTATCCTGCATGGGGAGAGGGCGAGGGCGTGGAGGGGTGGGGTGAAAGGGGGGACAGGATGAGCATCAGATGGAAGGGAGTGTTCAGTTAGAGATGAAAAGAGAGAGTGAGTGGGAAAGAGGGAGTGAGAGTGAGAAAGGGAGAGCAGGTGGCCCTATCACTGAGACCCTTTGCACTCACACAACTACAGCAGTCGTCCACCTTGTGTAATGAATGGCCATTGCAGGGATTTTTTTTTAGAAGACGACTTTTGAGTTGACTCAAGAGAAATCCCAAATAATCCCTATCCACCTTGTGTGATGACCATTCCTCATTTCAAAACCCTTCTATCCCTCCCCAGCTAACTTTCCCAGACCAAGCAATTCTATTTTACCAAAAAGCTTCCGTAAAACAAAAGCACGCAGCGGCCCATACGCTTGTCGAGTTTTTAGGCGTCTCAAAACTTTCCACCAGCTCATCTGATTCAAAAGTGGTACAGGAAGAGACAAGGCAAGCCGACCCACCCACCTGGTGCCTTGCCCGTGCCTGTAGCAGCGCCAGCTCCTCAGACTGCTCCAGATTAGTATTCTGCTGGTCAGAAAGATGGTTGTGGTTGTGGTTGTGGTGGTGGTGGTGAAGGTATGGCATGGGAAGGGGGGAACGAGGTGGTGGTGGTTATGGTGGACGGATGGGAGGCCGGCGGCTGGGGATGGTAGCGATGTGTGTGTGTGTGGGTGCGGGGGGGGAGGAGGGAAAAGGTGTGTGCGTGTGTTTGTTTTTGTGTGTGTGTGTGTGCGTGCGTGCTTCCGTGTGTGTGTGCGTGAGTGTGTGCACGCGCGTAGCAGCAGCAGCAGCAGCACAGACACCAGTTGCAAACCGTGAGTTCCCTACCTGAAAGAACAAGCGCGGCTTTCCACTCGCCGCTGCCCTCGCCCTCCCATCACTTCTGCTGCTGCTGCCTGTCCTCCCAGCAGCAGTGGCAGAGGCTGAATCAGAGGAAAGGGAAGCTGAAGAGCTGCTGCTACCAGCGACGGTGGTGGTGGGAGCAGCGGCAGCAGTGGCTGGAACGGGAGCGGTATTGCCACTCCTGCTACTGCTGCCGAAGTTTCTCTGGGTGTTTGCGCTCGTGTGCAGCGCAGGAGTGCCAGCAGAAAGAGCAGCAGCATCGGAAGAAGCGGCAGGAGCAGCAGCTGGAGCAGCAGCAGCAGCGGCGGCGGCGGCGGCGGTGGAGGCAGCAGAGCGGGGGATGAAGAGAGTGGTTTCGAGCTCCACGTGGTGCACGTCCGTGAGTCCATTGGCGCGCAGTATGTCCTTCACTCGCACGCCGTACCGCTGCGATATGCCCCACAGCGTCTCGCCCCTGTTCGTGGTCGTGAGTTGGGGGGGGGAGTGGTGGTGGAGGTTCCCCGCGAGCGTACGGGGGAGAGGCGAAGGGAAAGCGGAGAATGGCGAGGGGAGAGGCGGGTGAGAGGTGCGGGGAGGGGCGGGGGTGTTGAAGGGGTTGGGGGAGGGGGGATTGAGCGATATATAGGGGAAGTGAGGGAGGCAAAGAGAGAGAACGAGAAAGGGAGAGAGGAGGAGGGCTGAGAGGGAGAGAAGAGCGAGTTTAGAAAGCGGGAGTGGGGGGGAAAGTTGGATTGAGGACATTGGATTGAGAGGCATCATATTTTCATCTGGGTCTGCCATGGGGCCATGGCATCATGTGTGAGAGGGTGGGGGAGAGGGTGGGGGAGAGGGTGGAGATGTGGTTGTGCCGGGTGGCTTTGAGGGTTCGTTTGTCTCTGTGTGTGTTGGTGTGTTTATTCAGCACGCGTTAAAAAGTGTCTCATACTCATACACGTTGTGAAAGCCATAATGACGACGAACACGAAATTCAACGAGCACGAAATTCATTCTTCGCTAGTATCATGCTCACTCACTCTTCCACGGTGTGCGTCAGCAGCGGCTCGCGATCAGCGCGTCGCCTGGCGCTCGCGCAGCATCGCACGGAGTCGCCCAGCCGTTGTTGCGACGGGCTCGCGAACGGAGAATAGGGAGAGACGGACGGAAACTGCAAATGAAGGGGCGGGAGGAAGGGGAAGGTTGAAGTGGGGGAGGGTTCGGGGAGGGGAAGAAGCGAGGAATGGGGAGGAGGGGGGCCGGAGGAAGAGCAGTGAAAAGATAGGAAAGCGGAGGAAAGCGAGAAAGGGGGGTGGGGGGAGGGAAGGGGGGAGGGAGGGGGAGAGAAGGGGGAGAGACGGGGGATAGGAATGGAACCGCCGTGTTCTCACGAGGGCAAGCATGATGCTACGGAAGAAACTTTTGTTTGGGGGGGTAAGAGCGGGGGAAGAAGGCGGGTAGTGGGGGATGTAGGGGTATTGGAGGGGTTGGGGGGAGAAGTGGGGAGGAGAAAGCATGTAAACATAAGATATTTTCCATGGGGAGATATCTCCAACAAAGACACTAGTCGACGCAAATTACTTTTAAGTTTCTATCTTTAAGCCGATAATTTATGTTCCTACACCCTATCATCGTTTCTGTACTCGTTACCAGCTCCAGAGTCCGTTCATTTCAAACACCGTCCCACCCATTTTCCGGTCTTTATACCCCTTCTACCCCGTTCCGCCCCTTCCGCTTGTTCTCCCCCCATACCCGCGCTCACCGGGAGCTTGTTTCCGGAAAGTGCGGGGGGGCTCAGCGGCAATAGCGTGCCTGCGCGTTCCGCCGACGCGCCGTGGAGTTGTTGTAACGCGTACGCTCGTACACATGCAGCTCTGGATGTCGAATCGAATCTCGAGGCGCCAGCGAAAGAAGTTGCGACGCGGCCGCTGCGGTGGCCGCCACCTCCGCCGCCGCCGCCGCCGCCCCCAGTGCTGCTGCTGCTATTGCCGCCGTGTTTTCCGGCGGACCTGCCGCTGATACTTCTTAGCTTGATGCTTCCGCCGAGGCTAGCGGAGGACGAGAGGGCGGGGAAAAGGGCTGCTTGTCCCCCGGAAAAGCGCGCGGGGGAGACGTTAGGCGGAGAATGCGGAAGGTGAACGCACGACGAGGGGAAAGCTGGTGACGTGAGGCGGCCACAAGATTGGTGGATGAACGGAGAAGGTTGCGCGGGGAACGCGGCAAAAGCGGGGGGAACGAGGGAAGCGGAGGAAGCGGGGAAAGCGGAGGACTGGACCGCTGTCTCGAGAGGTTGACGCGGACAAGATCGCAAGAGAGTTGCGCTTCCAGCGCGCGAGTGTGACTGAAGCGACGGTGAACAAAGCGAAGGGATCATGGTGCGTGCGAATTACTGTTTGTGAAGCCAAGCGTGATTGAGGAATTGGCGAGAGGGCTGAACGAGGTAAGAAGGCGTGAAGTAACCCGACGCGCCAGGAAACGGCCTCAAACGGTCAGCATCGATTGCCTATCTTGCTGCCGCTACAACGTAGTCTAAGGCCCATGACACTATTCTTGCGAGTGAGCGTTGAATATAACAAACGGAGCACAAGCTAGTCGACGCGTATGGGCACCATAGCAGCGAGAATAGAAAACTATCGATTTTTTACTGTGCCAGTGCCACACTACTAAGCGTGAACTAGGCTTTAGGGTGCAGGTAACGGTTCAGGACAGGGTGCAGATACATTAGGTCAGTCATAAAAATATAAGGTTTAGGGGCAAAAGTGTTGCATGGATTGCTGATCCTGCTAGGCGCAGGGGCGGAAGCAGCAGAAAAGGTTGCGCGGATGCGGGGGTTAGTTTGGGGGGGTACGGGGAAAAAGGAAGGGCTGCTTGTAGGCAGCCCGATTTCCCCTTCTCAAGCTCATGAGGGCGGTGAGCAGAATGTGTGGGCAGCAGGCTTTCGCTTGGGGAGATGCAGCTTACATCCCATTGGCACTGCGGCTTTCATGTCCGAACCGTGATTGGTAAGACTCTCAAAGCGCGGATCTGAAGGGTGATCATACCAAGGGGGTACAGCGGCACAGTGAGGTCGACAAATGCCACGTGGCAGCTTTACGATGGGCAAAACAAATCTGCAGAGCGAGGGATTTCGCAGTCGACGATCAGGACTCGAGGTGGCTTTGTCGGATTTGGGTGCCAATATCCATTCTCTACAACATAAAACACCTGGAGGTATGAATATATAATGCTTCTGTATATTCAGACGATAGGTACAAGCAAAATGTATGCGATAGCATTTTACCCATAAACAGTCAGAGAAAGAAAAAGCGCCCACTTATTCCTTCCGCATGGGAAGGTATCCAGCTTGGAGATAAGCCGACAATTAGTAAAAAACCAGGAAGAAGCGTGCGAACTACAGATCACAGATGCCAAGCACACTTCAATAGCCTCTTCCAGGAACTCACCTAATTTAGCAGCGACACCCCCGAACCCATAGGTCACCCGTCTGCACACTTCCTTCAATCTACTTTCTCTTCCCTTAACTACTCCCCACCACCCCCCTCCGAATGATCCCCCCACTCCAACACAACCTCCCCCTTCCCACCCCCCCCCCCCTTCCCCTCCTTATCCCTTTCCCACCCTGTCCCATCCCACCCTGTCACAGATCCCACCCAGATCACTTCTCACTCACTACTCATCATCATCATCGTCGTCGTCCAGCTGAACAATCTGCGCACGCCTCTGTGCAGCCCTTTTCCTAATAAAGATGCCCCACCGCAACGCAGCCCGCAGCTTCAGCCACCCAACCTTGCTCGTATGCTTCAAATGCGAAGCCCCATCCGGCCCCACCCCGTCCCCACCAACTCCTCCCCCTACGGCAACTCCTCCTGAGCCTCCAGCAGTCACAGCACCACCAGGAGCGGAGGGAGTGAGGAACCCCCCTTGGAAGACAATCTCGTTGTCATCATGCTGAAGGTTGGCTGTGATGGTCCCTGCTGACCCTGCCGGCGTGTAGTCATTGATCAGACCTAGCAGCTGCTGCATCTGCACGTGGGGAAAAGAAAGTTTGCATCACAGGACGAGTACGGGGTGTTGGTGGTTGTAGAGGGCGGACGGGGTGGGGAAGGGGTTCAGCAGATTGAACACAGGAAGGCTCACACTGACAGCTCCCATGGAGCCAAACCGGATATTTTGGTGCACTGCACAGCAGGAGCGACAGACAAGGCAATGAGACGGTCCCACACACCTCCTGGTGCATGCCATCCTTCTCAGGTAACTTCTAACTCTATTCAACAATTTTTGAGTCGACTCAAAAATATGCCATCCTTCTCAGGTAACTTCTAACTCTATTCAACAATTTTTGAGTCGACTCAAAAATATGCCATCCTTCTCAGGTAACTTCTAACTCTATTCAACAATTTTTGAGTCGACTCAAAAATATGCCATCCTTCTCAGGTAACTTCTAACTCTATTCAACAATTTTTGAGTCGACTCAAAAATATGCCATCCTTCTCAGGTAACTTCTAACTCTATTCAACAATATGGTCACACACGCACGCACGCACGAACATGCGCGCGCCCACACACACACACACACCTGTTGATGCATGTCCTCATTCTCAAGAAGCTCCAGGCTCTTAGCACGCAGGTCCTCCTCTGATAACCCAAAGTCGTCCAAGTGCCCACTGAACCCCCCGGGCCCACCAAAGAGAGCCGCAGCCGCTGCTGTTGCTCCTGCCGCCCCACTGCTCGCATTCCCCACTCCAGACGCCCACCCCGATATGCCCCCTCCCATTCCTCCCGCCCCGTCATTCCCCACACCGCCAGTACCACCGGCGGCACCAGCACCAAAGGGAACCATGGCATTGGCGAAAGGATCAGGGCCCACTATAACAGTGTTGTTGTTACCGCCCATGTGACCCTCCCCACCCCCTGCAGCAGCAGTGGAGCCATCCCAGAGTACCCCCCCTCCTGCTCCTCCTCCTCCTGAACCGCCTGCTCCCATCCCTCCCACACCCCCTCCATACCCCATCTGCTGCTGCTGCTGCTGCTGCTGCTGCTGCTGTGGGGGGTTCTGCTGACCGCCTTGTCTACCCAGGCCCAGTTGAAGCAGCTGCTGCTGCTGGTTCTGGTTCTGGTTCTGGTTCTGCTGCTTCTGCTCCACAGCCTGAATGAAAGGGCAGAACGGTTTCAGCAAGGCAGATACGACCAGACAGGTGGGTTGATTGAGAGGTGAGCTTAACTGTGAGGGGTCTAATGCCCGATCGATGTGAGAGATTGAACGAGGAAAGCAGCAGTGCGTAGCGGAGTGGCAGAGGGCATAGACAGAGGGCATAGACATAGGGCATAGACAGAGGGCATAGACAGAGGGCATATACATAGGGCATAGACAGAGGGCATAGACATAGGGCATAGACAGAGGGCATAGACAGAGGGCATAGACAGAGGGCATAGACAGAGGGCATAGACAGAGGGCATAGACATAGGGCATAGACATAGGGTATAGACAGAGGGCATAGACAGAGGGCATAGACAGAGGGCATAGACAGAGGGCATAGACAGAGGGCATAGACAGAGGGCATAGACAGAGGGCATAGACATAGGGCATAGACAGAGGGCATAGACAGAGGGCATACAAGAGGGCATAGACAGAGGGCATAGACAGAGGGCATAGACATAGGGCATAAACAGAGGGCATAGACAGAGGGCATAGACATAGGGCATAGACAGAGGGCATAGACAGAGGGCATAGACAGAGGGCATAGACAGAGGGAATAGACAGAGGGCATAGACAGAGGGCATAGACAGAGGGCATAGACAGAGGACATAGACAGAGGGCATAGACATAGGGCATAGACAGAGGGCATAGACAGAGGGCATAGACAGAGGGCATAGACAGAGGGCATAGACATAGGGCATAGACAGAGGGCATAGACAGAGGGCATAGACAGAGGGCATAGACATAGGGCATAGACAGAGGGCATAGACAGAGGGCATAGACATAGGGCATAGACAGAGGGCATGGACAGAGGGCATAGACAGAGGGCATAGACAGAGGGCATAGACAGAGGGCATAGACAGAGGGCATAGGGCATACCAGAGGGCATAGACAGAGGGCATATACATAGGGCATAGACAGAGGGCATAGACATAGGGCATAGACAGAGGGCATAGACAGAGGGCATAGACAGAGGGCATAGACAGAGGGCATAGACAGAGGGCATAGACATAGGGCATAGACATAGGGTATAGACAGAGGGCATAGACAGAGGGCATAGACAGAGGGCATAGACAGAGGGCATAGACAGAGGGCATAGACAGAGGGCATAGACAGAGGGCATAGACATAGGGCATAGACAGAGGGCATAGACAGAGGGCATACAAGAGGGCATAGACAGAGGGCATACAAGAGGGCATAGACAGAGGGCATAGACAGAGGGCATAGACATAGGGCATAAACAGAGGGCATAGACAGAGGGCATAGACATAGGGCATAGACAGAGGGCATAGACAGAGGGCATAGACAGAGGGCATAGACAGAGGGAATAGACAGAGGGCATAGACAGAGGGCATAGACAGAGGGCATAGACAGAGGGCATAGACAGAGGGCATAGACATAGGGCATAGACAGAGGGCATAGACAGAGGGCATAGACAGAGGGCATAGACATAGGGCATAGACAGAGGGCATAGACAGAGGGCATAGACAGAGGGCATAGACAGAGGGCATAGACATAGGGCATAGACAGAGGGCATAGACAGAGGGCATAGACATAGGGCATAGACATAGGGCATAGACAGAGGGCATGGACAGCGGGCATAGACAGAGGGCATAGACAGAGGGCATAGACAGAGGGCATAGACAGAGGGCATAGACATAGGGCATACCAGAGGGCATAGACAGAGGGCATAGACAGAGGGCATAGACATAGGGCATAGACAGAGGGCATAGACAGAGGGCATAGACATAGGGCATAGACAGAGGGCATAGACAGAGGGCATAGACAGAGGGCATAGACATAGGGCATAGACAGAGGGCATAGACAGAGGGCATAGACAGAGGGCATAGACAGAGGGCATAGACATAGGGCATAGACAGAGGGCATAGACAGAGGGCATAGACAGAGGGCATAGACAGAGGGCATAGACATAGGGCATAGACATAGGGCATAGACAGAGGGCATAGACAGAGGGCATAGACAGAGGGCATAGACAGAGGGCATAGACAGAGGGCATAGACATAGGGCATAGACAGAGGGCATAGACAGAGGGCATAGACAGAGGGCATAGACAGAGGGCATAGACAGAGGGCATAAACATAGGGCATAGACAGAGGGCATAGACAGAGGGCATAGACATAGGGCATAGACAGAGGGCATAGACATAGGGCATAGACAGAGGGCATAGACAGAGGGCATAGACATAGGGCATAGACAGAGGGCATAGACAGAGGGCATAGACAGAGGGCATAGACAGAGGGCATAGACAGAGGGCATAGACAGAGGGCATAGACAGAGGGCATAGACAGAGGGCATAGACATAGGGCATAGACAGAGGGCATAGACAGAGCGCATAGACAGAGGGCATAGACAGAGGGCATAGACATAGGGCATAGACAGAGGGCATAGACAGAGGGCATAGACATAGGGCATAGACAGAGGGCATAGACAGAGGGCATAGACATAGGGCATAGACAGAGGGCATAGTCAGAGGGCATAGACAGAGGGCATAGACATAGGGCATAGACAGAGGGCATAGACAGAGGGCATAGACAGAGGGCATAGACAGAGGGCATAGACAGAGGGCATAGACAGAGGGCATAGACAGAGGGCATAGACAGAGGGCATAGACATAGGGCATAGACAGAGGGCATAGACATAGGGCATAGACAGAGGGCATAGACAGAGGGCATAGACAGAGGGCATAGACAGAGGGCATAGACAGAGGGCATAGACAGAGGGCATAGACAGAGGGCATAGACAGAGGGCATAAACATAGGGCATAGACAGAGGGCATAGACAGAGGGCATAGACATAGGGCATAGACAGAGGGCATAGACATAGGGCATAGACAGAGGGCATAGACAGAGGGCATAGACAGAGGGCATAGACATAGGGCATAGACAGAGGGCATAGACAGAGGGCATAGACATAGGGCATAGACAGAGGGCATAGACAGAGGGCATAGACAGAGGGCATAGACATAGGGCATAGACAGAGGGCATAGACAGAGGGCATAGACAGAGGGCATAGACAGAGGGCATAGACAGAGGGCATAGACAGAGGGCATAGACAGAGGGCATAGACAGAGGGCATAGACATAGGGCATAGACAGAGGGCATAGACATAGGGCATAGACAGAGGGCATAGACAGAGGGCATAGACAGAGGGCATAGACAGAGGGCATAGACATAGGGCATAGACAGAGGGCATAGACAGAGGGCATAGACATAGGGCATAGACAGAGGGCATAGACAGAGGGCATAGACAGAGGGCATAGACATAGGGCATAGACAGAGGGCATAGACAGAGGGCATAGACATAGGGCATAGACAGAGGGCATAGACAGAGGGCATAGACATAGGGCATAGACAGAGGGCATAGACAGAGGGCATAGACAGAGGGCATAGACAGAGGGCATAGACATAGGGCATAGACATAGGGCATAGACAGAGGGCATAGACAGAGGGCATAGACAGAGGGCATAGACAGAGGGCATAGACAGAGGGCATAGACAGAGGGCATAGACAGAGGGCATAGACATAGGGCATAGACAGAGGGCATAGACAGAGCGCATAGACATAGGGCATAGACAGAGGGCATAGACATAGGGCATAGACAGAGGGCATAGACAGAGGGCATAGACATAGGGCATAGACAGAGGGCATAGACAGAGGGCATAGACATAGGGCATAGACAGAGGGCATAGTCAGAGGGCATAGACAGAGGGCATAGACATAGGGCATAGACAGAGGGCATAGACAGAGGGCATAGACAGAGGGCGTAGACAGAGGGCATAGACAGAGGGCATAGACAGAGGGCATAGACAGAGGGCATAGACATAGGGCATAGACATAGGGCATAGACAGAGGGCATAGACATAGGGCATAGACAGAGGGCATAGACAGAGGGCATAGACAGAGGGCATAGACAGAGGGCATAGACAGAGGGCATAGACAGAGGGCATAGACAGAGGGCATAGACAGAGGGCATAAACATAGGGCATAGACAGAGGGCATAGACAGAGGGCATAGACATAGGGCATAGACAGAGGGCATAGACATAGGGCATAGACAGAGGGCATAGACAGAGGGCATAGACAGAGGGCATAGACAGAGGGCATAGACATAGGGCATAGACAGAGGGCATAGACAGAGGGCATAGACAGAGGGCATAGACAGAGGGCATAGACATAGGGCATAGACAGAGGGCATAGACAGAGGGCATAGACATAGGGCATAGACAGAGGGCATAGACAGAGGGCATAGACAGAGGGCATAGACATAGGGCATAGACAGAGGGCATAGACAGAGGGCATAGACAGAGGGCATAGACAGAGGGCATAGACAGAGGGCATAGACAGAGGGCATAGACAGAGGGCATAGACAGAGGGCATAGACAGAGGGCATAGACAGAGGGCATAGACAGAGGGCATAGACAGAGGGCATAGACATAGGGCATAGACAGAGGGCATAGACAGAGGGCATAGACAGAGGGCATAGACAGAGGGCATAGACAGAGGGCATAAACATAGGGCATAGACAGAGGGCATAGACAGAGGGCATAGACATAGGGCATAGACAGAGGGCATAGACATAGGGCATAGACAGAGGGCATAGACAGAGGGCATAGACAGAGGGCATAGACAGAGGGCATAGACATAGGGCATAGACAGAGGGCATAGACAGAGGGCATAGACAGAGGGCATAGACAGAGGGCATAGACATAGGGCATAGACAGAGGGCATAAACATAGGGCATAGACAGAGGGCATAGACAGAGGGCATAGACAGAGGGCATAGACAGAGGGCATAGACATAGGGCATAGACAGAGGGCATAGACAGAGGGCATAGACAGAGGGCATAGACAGAGGGCATAGACATAGGGCATAGACAGAGGGCATAGACAGAGGGCATAGACAGAGGGCATAGACAGAGGGCATAGACAGAGGCACAAACATAGGGCATAGACAGAGGGTATAGACAGAGGGCATAGACATAGGGCATAGACAGAGGGCATAGACATAGGGCATAGACAGAGGGCATAGACAGAGGGCATAGACAGAGGGCATAGACAGAGGGCATAGACATAGGGCATAGACAGAGGGCATAGACAGAGGGCATAGACAGAGGGCATAGACAGAGGGCATAGACATAGGGCATAGACAGAGGGCATAGACAGAGGGCATAGACATAGGGCATAGACAGAGGGCATAGACAGAGGGCATAGACAGAGGGCATAGACATAGGGCATAGACAGAGGGCATAGACAGAGGGCATAGACAGAGGGCATAGACAGAGGGCATAGACAGAGGGCATAGACATAGGGCATAGACAGAGGGCATAGACAGAGGGCATAGACAGAGGGCATAGACAGAGGGCATAGACATAGGGCATAGACAGAGGGCATAAACATAGGGCATAGACAGAGGGCATAGACAGAGGGCATAGACAGAGGGCATAGACAGAGGGCATAGACATAGGGCATAGACAGAGGGCATAGACAGAGGGCATAGACAGAGGGCATAGACAGAGGGCATAGACAGAGGGCATAGACATAGGGCATAGACAGAGGGCATAGACAGAGGGCATAGACAGAGGGCATAGACAGAGGGCATAGACAGAGGGCATAAACATAGGGCATAGACAGAGGGTATAGACAGAGGGCATAGACATAGGGCATAGACAGAGGGCATAGACATAGGGCATAGACAGAGGGCATAGACAGAGGGCATAGACAGAGGGCATAGACAGAGGGCATAGACATAGGGCATAGACAGAGGGCATAGACAGAGGGCATAGACAGAGGGCATAGACAGAGGGCATAGACATAGGGCATAGACAGAGGGCATAGACAGAGGGCATAGACATAGGGCATAGACAGAGGGCATAGACAGAGGGCATAGACAGAGGGCATAGACATAGGGCATAGACAGAGGGCATAGACAGAGGGCATAGACAGAGGGCATAGACATAGGGCATAGACAGAGGGCATAGACAGAGGGCATAGACAGAGGGCATAGACAGAGGGCATAGACAGAGGGCATAGACATAGGGCATAGACAGAGGGCATAGACAGAGGGCATAGACAGAGGGCATAGACAGAGGGCATAGACAGAGGGCATAGACAGAGGGCATAGACAGAGGGCATAGACAGAGGGCATAAACATAGGGCATAGACAGAGGGCATAGACAGAGGGCATAGACATAGGGCATAGACAGAGGGCATAGACATAGGGCATAGACAGAGGGCATAGACAGAGGGCATAGACAGAGGGCATAGACATAGGGCATAGACAGAGGGCATAGACAGAGGGCATAGACATAGGGCATAGACAGAGGGCATAGACAGAGGGCATAGACAGAGGGCATAGACATAGGGCATAGACAGAGGGCATAGACAGAGGGCATAGACAGAGGGCATAGACAGAGGGCATAGACAGAGGGCATAGACAGAGGGCATAGACAGAGGGCATAGACAGAGGGCATAGACATAGGGCATAGACAGAGGGCATAGACATAGGGCATAGACAGAGGGCATAGACAGAGGGCATAGACAGAGGGCATAGACAGAGGGCATAGACATAGGGCATAGACAGAGGGCATAGATAGAGGGCATAGACATAGGGCATAGACAGAGGGCATAGACAGAGGGCATAGACAGAGGGCATAGACATAGGGCATAGACAGAGGGCATAGACAGAGGGCATAGACATAGGGCATAGACAGAGGGCATAGACAGAGGGCATAGACATAGGGCATAGACAGAGGGCATAGACAGAGGGCATAGACAGAGGGCATAGACAGAGGGCATAGACATAGGGCATAGACATAGGGCATAGACAGAGGGCATAGACAGAGGGCATAGACAGAGGGCATAGACAGAGGGCATAGACAGAGGGCATAGACAGAGGGCATAGACAGAGGGCATAGACATAGGGCATAGACAGAGGGCATAGACAGAGCGCATAGACATAGGGCATAGACAGAGGGCATAGACATAGGGCATAGACAGAGGGCATAGACAGAGGGCATAGACATAGGGCATAGACAGAGGGCATAGACAGAGGGCATAGACATAGGGCATAGACAGAGGGCATAGTCAGAGGGCATAGACAGAGGGCATAGACATAGGGCATAGACAGAGGGCATAGACAGAGGGCATAGACAGAGGGCGTAGACAGAGGGCATAGACAGAGGGCATAGACAGAGGGCATAGACAGAGGGCATAGACATAGGGCATAGACATAGGGCATAGACAGAGGGCATAGACATAGGGCATAGACAGAGGGCATAGACAGAGGGCATAGACAGAGGGCATAGACAGAGGGCATAGACAGAGGGCATAGACAGAGGGCATAGACAGAGGGCATAAACATAGGGCATAGACAGAGGGCATAGACAGAGGGCATAGACATAGGGCATAGACAGAGGGCATAGACATAGGGCATAGACAGAGGGCATAGACAGAGGGCATAGACAGAGGGCATAGACAGAGGGCATAGACATAGGGCATAGACAGAGGGCATAGACAGAGGGCATAGACAGAGGGCATAGACAGAGGGCATAGACATAGGGCATAGACAGAGGGCATAGACAGAGGGCATAGACATAGGGCATAGACAGAGGGCATAGACAGAGGGCATAGACAGAGGGCATAGACATAGGGCATAGACAGAGGGCATAGACAGAGGGCATAGACAGAGGGCATAGACAGAGGGCATAGACAGAGGGCATAGACAGAGGGCATAGACAGAGGGCATAGACAGAGGGCATAGACAGAGGGCATAGACAGAGGGCATAGACAGAGGGCATAGACATAGGGCATAGACAGAGGGCATAGACAGAGGGCATAGACAGAGGGCATAGACAGAGGGCATAGACAGAGGGCATAAACATAGGGCATAGACAGAGGGCATAGACAGAGGGCATAGACATAGGGCATAGACAGAGGGCATAGACATAGGGCATAGACAGAGGGCATAGACAGAGGGCATAGACAGAGGGCATAGACAGAGGGCATAGACATAGGGCATAGACAGAGGGCATAGACAGAGGGCATAGACAGAGGGCATAGACAGAGGGCATAGACATAGGGCATAGACAGAGGGCATAAACATAGGGCATAGACAGAGGGCATAGACAGAGGGCATAGACAGAGGGCATAGACAGAGGGCATAGACATAGGGCATAGACAGAGGGCATAGACAGAGGGCATAGACAGAGGGCATAGACAGAGGGCATAGACAGAGGGCATAGACATAGGGCATAGACAGAGGGCATAGACAGAGGGCATAGACAGAGGGCATAGACAGAGGGCATAGACAGAGGGCACAAACATAGGGCATAGACAGAGGACATAGACAGAGGGCATAGACAGAGGGCATAGACATAGGGCATAGACAGAGGGCATAGACAGAGGGCATAGACAGAGGGCATAGACAGAGGGCATAGACAGAGGGCATAGACATAGGGCATAGACAGAGGGCATAGACAGAGGGCATAGACAGAGGGCATAGACAGAGGGCATAGACAGAGGGCATAAACATAGGGCATAGACAGAGGGTATAGACAGAGGGCATAGACATAGGGCATAGACAGAGGGCATAGACATAGGGCATAGACAGAGGGCATAGACAGAGGGCATAGACAGAGGGCATAGACAGAGGGCATAGACATAGGGCATAGACAGAGGGCATAGACAGAGGGCATAGACAGAGGGCATAGACAGAGGGCATAGACATAGGGCATAGACAGAGGGCATAGACAGAGGGCATAGACATAGGGCATAGACAGAGGGCATAGACAGAGGGCATAGACATAGGGCATAGACAGAGGGCATAGACAGAGGGCATAGACATAGGGCATAGACAGAGGGCATAGACAGAGGGCATAGACAGAGGGCATAGACAGAGGGCATAGACAGAGGGCATAGACAGAGGGCATAGACAGAGGGCATAGACAGAGGGCATAGACAGAGGGCATAGACAGAGGGCATAGACAGAGGGCATAGACAGAGGGCATAGACAGAGGGCATAGACAGAGGGCATAGACAGAGGGCATAGACAGAGGGCATAGACAGAGGGCATAGACAGAGGGCATAGACAGAGGGCATAGACATAGGGCATAGACAGAGGGCATAGACAGAGGGCATAGACAGAGGGCATAGACATAGGCAGTAGACAGAGGGCATAGACAGAGGGCATAGACATAGGGCATAGACAGAGGGCATAGACAGAGGGCATAGACAGAGGGCATAGACATAGGGCATAGACAGAGGGCATAGACAGAGGGCATAGACAGAGGGCATAGACAGAGGGCATAGACAGAGGGCATAGACATAGGGCATAGACAGAGGCATAGACAGAGGGCATAGACAGAGGGCATAGACAGAGGGCATAGACAGAGGGCATAGACAGAGGGCATAGACAGAGGGCATAGACAGAGGGCATAGACAGAGGGCATAAACATAGGGCATAGACAGAGGGCATAGACAGAGGGCATAGACATAGGGCATAGACAGAGGGCATAGACATAGGGCATAGACAGAGGGCATAGACAGAGGGCATAGACAGAGGGCATAGACATAGGGCATAGACAGAGGGCATAGACAGAGGGCATAGACATAGGGCATAGACAGAGGGCATAGACAGAGGGCATAGACAGAGGGCATAGACATAGGGCATAGACAGAGGGCATAGACAGAGGGCATAGACAGAGGGCATAGACAGAGGGCATAGACAGAGGGCATAGACAGAGGGCATAGACAGAGGGCATAGACAGAGGGCATAGACAGAGGGCATAGACATAGGGCATAGACAGAGGGCATAGACATAGGGCATAGACAGAGGGCATAGACAGAGGGCATAGACAGAGGGCATAGACAGAGGGCATAGACAGAGGGCATAGACAGAGGGCATAGACAGAGGGCATAAACATAGGGCATAGACAGAGGGCATAGACAGAGGGCATAGACATAGGGCATAGACAGAGGGCATAGACATAGGGCATAGACAGAGGGCATAGACAGAGGGCATAGACAGAGGGCATAGACATAGGGCATAGACAGAGGGCATAGACAGAGGGCATAGACATAGGGCATAGACAGAGGGCATAGACAGAGGGCATAGACAGAGGGCATAGACATAGGGCATAGACAGAGGGCATAGACAGAGGGCATAGACAGAGGGCATAGACAGAGGGCATAGACAGAGGGCATAGACAGAGGGCATAGACAGAGGGCATAGACAGAGGGCATAGACATAGGGCATAGACAGAGGGCATAGACATAGGGCATAGACAGAGGGCATAGACAGAGGGCATAGACAGAGGGCATAGACAGAGGGCATAGACATAGGGCATAGACAGAGGGCATAGACAGAGGGCATAGACATAGGGCATAGACAGAGGGCATAGACAGAGGGCATAGACAGAGGGCATAGACATAGGGCATAGACAGAGGGCATAGACAGAGGGCATAGACATAGGGCATAGACAGAGGGCATAGACAGAGGGCATAGACATAGGGCATAGACAGAGGGCATAGACAGAGGGCATAGACAGAGGGCATAGACAGAGGGCATAGACATAGGGCATAGACATAGGGCATAGACAGAGGGCATAGACAGAGGGCATAGACAGAGGGCATAGACAGAGGGCATAGACAGAGGGCATAGACAGAGGGCATAGACAGAGGGCATAGACATAGGGCATAGACAGAGGGCATAGACAGAGCGCATAGACATAGGGCATAGACAGAGGGCATAGACATAGGGCATAGACAGAGGGCATAGACAGAGGGCATAGACATAGGGCATAGACAGAGGGCATAGACAGAGGGCATAGACATAGGGCATAGACAGAGGGCATAGTCAGAGGGCATAGACAGAGGGCATAGACATAGGGCATAGACAGAGGGCATAGACAGAGGGCATAGACAGAGGGCGTAGACAGAGGGCATAGACAGAGGGCATAGACAGAGGGCATAGACAGAGGGCATAGACATAGGGCATAGACATAGGGCATAGACAGAGGGCATAGACATAGGGCATAGACAGAGGGCATAGACAGAGGGCATAGACAGAGGGCATAGACAGAGGGCATAGACAGAGGGCATAGACAGAGGGCATAGACAGAGGGCATAGACAGAGGGCATAAACATAGGGCATAGACAGAGGGCATAGACAGAGGGCATAGACATAGGGCATAGACAGAGGGCATAGACATAGGGCATAGACAGAGGGCATAGACAGAGGGCATAGACAGAGGGCATAGACAGAGGGCATAGACATAGGGCATAGACAGAGGGCATAGACAGAGGGCATAGACAGAGGGCATAGACAGAGGGCATAGACATAGGGCATAGACAGAGGGCATAGACAGAGGGCATAGACATAGGGCATAGACAGAGGGCATAGACAGAGGGCATAGACAGAGGGCATAGACATAGGGCATAGACAGAGGGCATAGACAGAGGGCATAGACAGAGGGCATAGACAGAGGGCATAGACAGAGGGCATAGACAGAGGGCATAGACAGAGGGCATAGACAGAGGGCATAGACAGAGGGCATAGACAGAGGGCATAGACAGAGGGCATAGACAGAGGGCATAGACATAGGGCATAGACAGAGGGCATAGACAGAGGGCATAGACAGAGGGCATAGACAGAGGGCATAGACAGAGGGCATAAACATAGGGCATAGACAGAGGGCATAGACAGAGGGCATAGACATAGGGCATAGACAGAGGGCATAGACATAGGGCATAGACAGAGGGCATAGACAGAGGGCATAGACAGAGGGCATAGACAGAGGGCATAGACATAGGGCATAGACAGAGGGCATAGACAGAGGGCATAGACAGAGGGCATAGACAGAGGGCATAGACATAGGGCATAGACAGAGGGCATAAACATAGGGCATAGACAGAGGGCATAGACAGAGGGCATAGACAGAGGGCATAGACAGAGGGCATAGACATAGGGCATAGACAGAGGGCATAGACAGAGGGCATAGACAGAGGGCATAGACAGAGGGCATAGACAGAGGGCATAGACATAGGGCATAGACAGAGGGCATAGACAGAGGGCATAGACAGAGGGCATAGACAGAGGGCATAGACAGAGGGCACAAACATAGGGCATAGACAGAGGGTATAGACAGAGGGCATAGACATAGGGCATAGACAGAGGGCATAGACATAGGGCATAGACAGAGGGCATAGACAGAGGGCATAGACAGAGGGCATAGACAGAGGGCATAGACATAGGGCATAGACAGAGGGCATAGACAGAGGGCATAGACAGAGGGCATAGACAGAGGGCATAGACATAGGGCATAGACAGAGGGCATAGACAGAGGGCATAGGGCATAGACAGAGGGCATAGACAGAGGGCATAGACAGAGGGCATAGACATAGGGCATAGACAGAGGGCATAGACAGAGGGCATAGACAGAGGGCATAGACAGAGGGCATAGACAGAGGGCATAGACATAGGGCATAGACAGAGGGCATAGACAGAGGGCATAGACAGAGGGCATAGACAGAGGGCATAGACATAGGGCATAGACAGAGGGCATAAACATAGGGCATAGACAGAGGGCATAGACAGAGGGCATAGACAGAGGGCATAGACAGAGGGCATAGACATAGGGCATAGACAGAGGGCATAGACAGAGGGCATAGACAGAGGGCATAGACAGAGGGCATAGACAGAGGGCATAGACATAGGGCATAGACAGAGGGCATAGACAGAGGGCATAGACAGAGGGCATAGACAGAGGGCATAGACAGAGGGCATAAACATAGGGCATAGACAGAGGGTATAGACAGAGGGCATAGACATAGGGCATAGACAGAGGGCATAGACATAGGGCATAGACAGAGGGCATAGACAGAGGGCATAGACAGAGGGCATAGACAGAGGGCATAGACATAGGGCATAGACAGAGGGCATAGACAGAGGGCATAGACAGAGGGCATAGACAGAGGGCATAGACATAGGGCATAGACAGAGGGCATAGACAGAGGGCATAGACATAGGGCATAGACAGAGGGCATAGACAGAGGGCATAGACAGAGGGCATAGACATAGGGCATAGACAGAGGGCATAGACAGAGGGCATAGACAGAGGGCATAGACATAGGGCATAGACAGAGGGCATAGACAGAGGGCATAGACAGAGGGCATAGACAGAGGGCATAGACAGAGGGCATAGACATAGGGCATAGACAGAGGGCATAGACAGAGGGCATAGACAGAGGGCATAGACAGAGGGCATAGACAGAGGGCATAGACAGAGGGCATAGACAGAGGGCATAGACAGAGGGCATAAACATAGGGCATAGACAGAGGGCATAGACAGAGGGCATAGACATAGGGCATAGACAGAGGGCATAGACATAGGGCATAGACAGAGGGCATAGACAGAGGGCATAGACAGAGGGCATAGACATAGGGCATAGACAGAGGGCATAGACAGAGGGCATAGACATAGGGCATAGACAGAGGGCATAGACAGAGGGCATAGACAGAGGGCATAGACATAGGGCATAGACAGAGGGCATAGACAGAGGGCATAGACAGAGGGCATAGACAGAGGGCATAGACAGAGGGCATAGACAGAGGGCATAGACAGAGGGCATAGACAGAGGGCATAGACATAGGGCATAGACAGAGGGCATAGACATAGGGCATAGACAGAGGGCATAGACAGAGGGCATAGACAGAGGGCATAGACAGAGGGCATAGACATAGGGCATAGACAGAGGGCATAGATAGAGGGCATAGACATAGGGCATAGACAGAGGGCATAGACAGAGGGCATAGACAGAGGGCATAGACATAGGGCATAGACAGAGGGCATAGACAGAGGGCATAGACATAGGGCATAGACAGAGGGCATAGACAGAGGGCATAGACATAGGGCATAGACAGAGGGCATAGACAGAGGGCATAGACAGAGGGCATAGACAGAGGGCATAGACATAGGGCATAGACATAGGGCATAGACAGAGGGCATAGACAGAGGGCATAGACAGAGGGCATAGACAGAGGGCATAGACAGAGGGCATAGACAGAGGGCATAGACAGAGGGCATAGACATAGGGCATAGACAGAGGGCATAGACAGAGCGCATAGACATAGGGCATAGACAGAGGGCATAGACATAGGGCATAGACAGAGGGCATAGACAGAGGGCATAGACATAGGGCATAGACAGAGGGCATAGACAGAGGGCATAGACATAGGGCATAGACAGAGGGCATAGTCAGAGGGCATAGACAGAGGGCATAGACATAGGGCATAGACAGAGGGCATAGACAGAGGGCATAGACAGAGGGCGTAGACAGAGGGCATAGACAGAGGGCATAGACAGAGGGCATAGACAGAGGGCATAGACATAGGGCATAGACATAGGGCATAGACAGAGGGCATAGACATAGGGCATAGACAGAGGGCATAGACAGAGGGCATAGACAGAGGGCATAGACAGAGGGCATAGACAGAGGGCATAGACAGAGGGCATAGACAGAGGGCATAGACAGAGGGCATAAACATAGGGCATAGACAGAGGGCATAGACAGAGGGCATAGACATAGGGCATAGACAGAGGGCATAGACATAGGGCATAGACAGAGGGCATAGACAGAGGGCATAGACAGAGGGCATAGACAGAGGGCATAGACATAGGGCATAGACAGAGGGCATAGACAGAGGGCATAGACAGAGGGCATAGACAGAGGGCATAGACATAGGGCATAGACAGAGGGCATAGACAGAGGGCATAGACATAGGGCATAGACAGAGGGCATAGACAGAGGGCATAGACAGAGGGCATAGACATAGGGCATAGACAGAGGGCATAGACAGAGGGCATAGACAGAGGGCATAGACAGAGGGCATAGACAGAGGGCATAGACAGAGGGCATAGACAGAGGGCATAGACAGAGGGCATAGACAGAGGGCATAGACAGAGGGCATAGACAGAGGGCATAGACATAGGGCATAGACAGAGGGCATAGACAGAGGGCATAGACAGAGGGCATAGACAGAGGGCATAGACAGAGGGCATAAACATAGGGCATAGACAGAGGGCATAGACAGAGGGCATAGACATAGGGCATAGACAGAGGGCATAGACATAGGGCATAGACAGAGGGCATAGACAGAGGGCATAGACAGAGGGCATAGACAGAGGGCATAGACATAGGGCATAGACAGAGGGCATAGACAGAGGGCATAGACAGAGGGCATAGACAGAGGGCATAGACATAGGGCATAGACAGAGGGCATAAACATAGGGCATAGACAGAGGGCATAGACAGAGGGCATAGACAGAGGGCATAGACAGAGGGCATAGACATAGGGCATAGACAGAGGGCATAGACAGAGGGCATAGACAGAGGGCATAGACAGAGGGCATAGACAGAGGGCATAGACATAGGGCATAGACAGAGGGCATAGACAGAGGGCATAGACAGAGGGCATAGACAGAGGGCATAGACAGAGGGCACAAACATAGGGCATAGACAGAGGACATAGACAGAGGGCATAGACAGAGGGCATAGACATAGGGCATAGACAGAGGGCATAGACAGAGGGCATAGACAGAGGGCATAGACAGAGGGCATAGACAGAGGGCATAGACATAGGGCATAGACAGAGGGCATAGACAGAGGGCATAGACAGAGGGCATAGACAGAGGGCATAGACAGAGGGCATAAACATAGGGCATAGACAGAGGGTATAGACAGAGGGCATAGACATAGGGCATAGACAGAGGGCATAGACATAGGGCATAGACAGAGGGCATAGACAGAGGGCATAGACAGAGGGCATAGACAGAGGGCATAGACATAGGGCATAGACAGAGGGCATAGACAGAGGGCATAGACAGAGGGCATAGACAGAGGGCATAGACATAGGGCATAGACAGAGGGCATAGACAGAGGGCATAGACATAGGGCATAGACAGAGGGCATAGACAGAGGGCATAGACATAGGGCATAGACAGAGGGCATAGACAGAGGGCATAGACAGAGGGCATAGACATAGGGCATAGACAGAGGGCATAGACAGAGGGCATAGACAGAGGGCATAGACAGAGGGCATAGACAGAGGGCATAGACATAGGGCATAGACAGAGGGCATAGACAGAGGGCATAGACAGAGGGCATAGACAGAGGGCATAGACATAGGGCATAGACAGAGGGCATAGACAGAGGGCATAGACATAGGGCATAGACAGAGGGCATAGACAGAGGGCATAGACAGAGGGCATAGACATAGGGCATAGACAGAGGGCATAGACATAGGGCATAGACAGAGGGCATAGACAGAGGGCATAGACAGAGGGCATAGACATAGGGCATAGACAGAGGGCATAGACAGAGGGCATAGACAGAGGGCATAGACATAGGGCATAGACAGAGGGCATAGACAGAGGGCATAGACAGAGGGCATAGACAGAGGGCATAGACAGAGGGCATAGACATAGGGCATAGACAGAGGGCATAGACAGAGGGCATAGACAGAGGGCATAGACAGAGGGCATAGACAGAGGGCATAGACAGAGGGCATAGACAGAGGGCATAGACAGAGGGCATAAACATAGGGCATAGACAGAGGGCATAGACAGAGGGCATAGACATAGGGCATAGACAGAGGGCATAGACATAGGGCATAGACAGAGGGCATAGACAGAGGGCATAGACAGAGGGCATAGACATAGGGCATAGACAGAGGGCATAGACAGAGGGCATAGACATAGGGCATAGACAGAGGGCATAGACAGAGGGCATAGACAGAGGGCATAGACAGAGGGCATAGACAGAGGGCATAGACAGAGGGCATAGACAGAGGGCATAGACAGAGGGCATAGACAGAGGGCATAGACAGAGGGCATAGACAGAGGGCATAGACAGAGGGCATAGACATAGGGCATAGACAGAGGGCATAGACATAGGGCATAGACAGAGGGCATAGACAGAGGGCATAGACAGAGGGCATAGACAGAGGGCATAGACATAGGGCATAGACAGAGGGCATAGATAGAGGGCATAGACATAGGGCATAGACAGAGGGCATAGACAGAGGGCATAGACAGAGGGCATAGACATAGGGCATAGACAGAGGGCATAGACAGAGGGCATAGACATAGGGCATAGACAGAGGGCATAGACAGAGGGCATAGACATAGGGCATAGACAGAGGGCATAGACAGAGGGCATAGACAGAGGGCATAGACAGAGGGCATAGACATAGGGCATAGACATAGGGCATAGACAGAGGGCATAGACAGAGGGCATAGACAGAGAGCATAGACAGAGGGCATAGACAGAGGGCATAGACAGAGGGCATAGACAGAGGGCATAGACATAGGGCATAGACAGAGGGCATAGACAGAGCGCATAGACATAGGGCATAGACAGAGGGCATAGACATAGGGCATAGACAGAGGGCATAGACAGAGGGCATAGACATAGGGCATAGACAGAGGGCATAGACAGAGGGCATAGACATAGGGCATAGACAGAGGGCATAGTCAGAGGGCATAGACAGAGGGCATAGACATAGGGCATAGACAGAGGGCATAGACAGAGGGCATAGACAGAGGGCGTAGACAGAGGGCATAGACAGAGGGCATAGACAGAGGGCATAGACAGAGGGCATAGACATAGGGCATAGACATAGGGCATAGACAGAGGGCATAGACATAGGGCATAGACAGAGGGCATAGACAGAGGGCATAGACAGAGGGCATAGACAGAGGGCATAGACAGAGGGCATAGACAGAGGGCATAGACAGAGGGCATAGACAGAGGGCATAAACATAGGGCATAGACAGAGGGCATAGACAGAGGGCATAGACATAGGGCATAGACAGAGGGCATAGACATAGGGCATAGACAGAGGGCATAGACAGAGGGCATAGACAGAGGGCATAGACAGAGGGCATAGACATAGGGCATAGACAGAGGGCATAGACAGAGGGCATAGACAGAGGGCATAGACAGAGGGCATAGACATAGGGCATAGACAGAGGGCATAGACAGAGGGCATAGACATAGGGCATAGACAGAGGGCATAGACAGAGGGCATAGACAGAGGGCATAGACATAGGGCATAGACAGAGGGCATAGACAGAGGGCATAGACAGAGGGCATAGACAGAGGGCATAGACAGAGGGCATAGACAGAGGGCATAGACAGAGGGCATAGACAGAGGGCATAGACAGAGGGCATAGACAGAGGGCATAGACAGAGGGCATAGACAGAGGGCATAGACATAGGGCATAGACAGAGGGCATAGACAGAGGGCATAGACAGAGGGCATAGACAGAGGGCATAGACAGAGGCATAAACATAGGGCATAGACAGAGGGCATAGACAGAGGGCATAGACATAGGGCATAGACAGAGGGCATAGACATAGGGCATAGACAGAGGGCATAGACAGAGGGCATAGACAGAGGGCATAGACAGAGGGCATAGACATAGGGCATAGACAGAGGGCATAGACAGAGGGCATAGACAGAGGGCATAGACAGAGGGCATAGACATAGGGCATAGACAGAGGGCATAAACATAGGGCATAGACAGAGGGCATAGACAGAGGGCATAGACAGAGGGCATAGACAGAGGGCATAGACATAGGGCATAGACAGAGGGCATAGACAGAGGGCATAGACAGAGGGCATAGACAGAGGGCATAGACAGAGGGCATAGACATAGGGCATAGACAGAGGGCATAGACAGAGGGCATAGACAGAGGGCATAGACAGAGGGCATAGACAGAGGGCACAAACATAGGGCATAGACAGAGGACATAGACAGAGGGCATAGACAGAGGGCATAGACATAGGGCATAGACAGAGGGCATAGACAGAGGGCATAGACAGAGGGCATAGACAGAGGGCATAGACAGAGGGCATAGACATAGGGCATAGACAGAGGGCATAGACAGAGGGCATAGACAGAGGGCATAGACAGAGGGCATAGACAGAGGGCATAAACATAGGGCATAGACAGAGGGTATAGACAGAGGGCATAGACATAGGGCATAGACAGAGGGCATAGACATAGGGCATAGACAGAGGGCATAGACAGAGGGCATAGACAGAGGGCATAGACAGAGGGCATAGACATAGGGCATAGACAGAGGGCATAGACAGAGGGCATAGACAGAGGGCATAGACAGAGGGCATAGACATAGGGCATAGACAGAGGGCATAGACAGAGGGCATAGACATAGGGCATAGACAGAGGGCATAGACAGAGGGCATAGACATAGGGCATAGACAGAGGGCATAGACAGAGGGCATAGACAGAGGGCATAGACATAGGGCATAGACAGAGGGCATAGACAGAGGGCATAGACAGAGGGCATAGACAGAGGGCATAGACAGAGGGCATAGACATAGGGCATAGACAGAGGGCATAGACAGAGGGCATAGACAGAGGGCATAGACAGAGGGCATAGACATAGGGCATAGACAGAGGGCATAGACAGAGGGCATAGACATAGGGCATAGACAGAGGGCATAGACAGAGGGCATAGACAGAGGGCATAGACATAGGGCATAGACAGAGGGCATAGACAGAGGGCATAGACAGAGGGCATAGACAGAGGGCATAGACAGAGGGCATAAACATAGGGCATAGACAGAGGGTATAGACAGAGGGCATAGACATAGGGCATAGACAGAGGGCATAGACATAGGGCATAGACATAGGGCATAGACAGAGGGCATAGACAGAGGGCATAGACAGAGGGCATAGACAGAGGGCATAGACAGAGGGCATAAACATAGGGCATAGACAGAGGGTATAGACAGAGGGCATAGACATAGGGCATAGACAGAGGGCATAGACATAGGGCATAGACAGAGGGCATAGACAGAGGGCATAGACAGAGGGCATAGACAGAGGGCATAGACATAGGGCATAGACAGAGGGCATAGACAGAGGGCATAGACAGAGGGCATAGACAGAGGGCATAGACATAGGGCATAGACAGAGGGCATAGACAGAGGGCATAGACATAGGGCATAGACAGAGGGCATAGACAGAGGGCATAGACAGAGGGCATAGACATAGGGCATAGACAGAGGGCATAGACAGAGGGCATAGACAGAGGGCATAGACAGAGGGCATAGACAGAGGGCATAGACATAGGGCATAGACAGAGGGCATAGACAGAGGGCATAGACAGAGGGCATAGACATAGGGCATAGACAGAGGGCATAAACATAGGGCATAGACAGAGGGCATAGACAGAGGGCATAGACAGAGGGCATAGACAGAGGGCATAGACATAGGGCATAGACAGAGGGCATAGACAGAGGGCATAGACAGAGGGCATAGACAGAGGGCATAGACAGAGGGCATAGACATAGGGCATAGACAGAGGGCATAGACAGAGGGCATAGACAGAGGGCATAGACAGAGGGCATAGACAGAGGGCATAAACATAGGGCATAGACAGAGGGTATAGACAGAGGGCATAGACAGAGGGCATAGACAGAGGGCATAGACATAGGGCATAGACAGAGGGCATAGACAGAGCGCATAGACATAGGGCATAGACAGAGGGCATAGACATAGGGCATAGACAGAGGGCATAGACAGAGGGCATAGACATAGGGCATAGACAGAGGGCATAGACAGAGGGCATAGACAGAGGGCATAGACAGAGGGCATAGACAGAGGGCATAGACAGAGGGCATAGACAGAGGGCATAGACAGAGGGCATAGACAGAGGGCATAGACAGAGGGCATAGACAGAGGGCATAGACAGAGGGCATAGACAGAGGGCATAGACAGAGGGCATAGACAGAGGGCATAGACAGAGGGCATAGACAGAGGGCATAGACAGAGGGCATAGACAGAGGGCATAGACAGAGGGCATAGACATAGGGCATAGACAGAGGGCATAGACAGAGGGCATAGACAGAGGGCATAGACAGAGGGCATTGACAGAGGGCATAAACATAGGGCATAGACAGAGGGTATAGACAGAGGGCATAGACATAGGGCATAGACAGAGGGCATAGACATAGGGCATAGACAGAGGGCATAGACAGAGGGCATAGACAGAGGGCATAGACAGAGGGCATAGACATAGGGCATAGACAGAGGGCATAGACAGAGGGCATAGACAGAGGGCATAGACAGAGGGCATAGACATAGGGCATAGACAGAGGGCATAGACAGAGGGCATAGACATAGGGCATAGACAGAGGGCATAGACAGAGGGCATAGACAGAGGGCATAGACATAGGGCATAGACAGAGGGCATAGACAGAGGGCATAGACAGAGGGCATAGACATAGGGCATAGACAGAGGGCATAGACAGAGGGCATAGACAGAGGGCATAGACAGAGGGCATAGACAGAGGGCATAGACAGAGGGCATAGACAGAGGGCATAGACAGAGGGCATAGACAGAGGGCATAGACAGAGGGCATAGACAGAGGGCATAGACAGAGGGCATAGACAGAGGGCATAGACAGAGGACATAGACAGAGGGCATAGACATAGGGCATAGACATAGGGCATAGACAGAGGGCATAGACAGAGGGCATAGACAGAGGGCATAGACAGAGGGCATAGACAGAGGGCATAGACAGAGGGCATAGACAGAGGGCATAGACAGAGGGCATAGACAGAGGGCATAGACAGAGGGCATAGACAGAGGGCATAGACATAGGGCATAGACAGAGGGCATAGACAGAGGGCATAGACAGAGGGCATAGACAGAGGGCATAGACAGAGGGCATAAACATAGGGCATAGACAGAGGGCATAGACAGAGGGCATAGACATAGGGCATAGACAGAGGGCATAGACATAGGGCATAGACAGAGGGCATAGACAGAGGGCATAGACAGAGGGCATAGACAGAGGCATAGACATAGGGCATAGACAGAGGGCATAGACAGAGGGCATAGACAGAGGGCATAGACAGAGGGCATAGACATAGGGCATAGACAGAGGGCATAAACATAGGGCATAGACAGAGGGCATAGACAGAGGGCATAGACAGAGGGCATAGACAGAGGGCATAGACATAGGGCATAGACAGAGGGCATAGACAGAGGGCATAGACAGAGGGCATAGACAGAGGGCATAGACAGAGGGCATAGACATAGGGCATAGACAGAGGGCATAGACAGAGGGCATAGACAGAGGGCATAGACAGAGGGCATAGACAGAGGGCATAAACATAGGGCATAGACAGAGGGTATAGACAGAGGGCATAGACATAGGGCATAGACAGAGGGCATAGACATAGGGCATAGACAGAGGGCATAGACAGAGGGCATAGACAGAGGGCATAGACAGAGGGCATAGACATAGGGCATAGACAGAGGGCATAGACAGAGGGCATAGACAGAGGGCATAGACAGAGGGCATAGACATAGGGCATAGACAGAGGGCATAGACAGAGGGCATAGACATAGGGCATAGACAGAGGGCATAGACAGAGGGCATAGACAGAGGGCATAGACATAGGGCATAGACAGAGGGCATAGACAGAGGGCATAGACAGAGGGCATAGACAGAGGGCATAGACAGAGGGCATAGACATAGGGCATAGACAGAGGGCATAGACAGAGGGCATAGACAGAGGGCATAGACAGAGGGCATAGACATAGGGCATAGACAGAGGGCATAAACATAGGGCATAGACAGAGGGCATAGACAGAGGGCATAGACAGAGGGCATAGACAGAGGGCATAGACATAGGGCATAGACAGAGGGCATAGACAGAGGGCATAGACAGAGGGCATAGACAGAGGGCATAGACAGAGGGCATAGACATAGGGCATAGACAGAGGGCATAGACAGAGGGCATAGACAGAGGGCATAGACAGAGGGCATAGACAGAGGCATAAACATAGGGCATAGACAGAGGGTATAGACAGAGGGCATAGACATAGGGCATAGACAGAGGGCATAGACATAGGGCATAGACAGAGGGCATAGACAGAGGGCATAGACAGAGGGCATAGACAGAGGGCATAGACATAGGGCATAGACAGAGGGCATAGACAGAGGGCATAGACAGAGGGCATAGACAGAGGGCATAGACATAGGGCATAGACAGAGGGCATAGACAGAGGGCATAGACATAGGGCATAGACAGAGGGCATAGACAGAGGGCATAGACAGAGGGCATAGACATAGGGCATAGACAGAGGGCATAGACAGAGGGCATAGACAGAGGGCATAGACATAGGGCATAGACAGAGGGCATAGACAGAGGGCATAGACAGAGGGCATAGACAGAGGGCATAGACAGAGGGCATAGACATAGGGCATAGACAGAGGGCATAGACAGAGGGCATAGACAGAGGGCATAGACAGAGGGCATAGACAGAGGGCATAGACAGAGGACATAGACAGAGGGCATAGACATAGGGCATAGACATAGGGCATAGACAGAGGGCATAGACAGAGGGCATAGACATAGGGCATAGACAGAGGGCATAGACAGAGGGCATAGACATAGGGCATAGACAGAGGGCATAGACAGAGGACATAGACAGAGGGCATAGACAGAGGGCATAGACAGAGGGCATAGACATAGGGCATAGACATAGGGCATAGACAGAGGGCATAGACATAGGGCATAGACAGAGGGCATAGACAGAGGGCATAGACATAGGGCATAGACAGAGGGCATAGACAGAGGGCATAGACAGAGGGCATAGACAGAGGGCATAGACAGAGGGCATAGACATAGGGCATAGACAGAAGGCATAGACAGAGGGCATGGTACTACGTTGCAGCACACACACCAGGAAAGCGGCAAAGCAGGAATGGGTGGAGGGAAAGGTGGAAGAGATGGGGATGTGTCAGTGCCTACAGTGTGTGCGGTGGTAACTGGCTCCTGTCTGCCAGTCCATGTCTCTTACCTGTGCTTGGTCGTTGGCCAATGCCTGCCGCCTCACGTGCTGTTGTAGTAAAGATGCATTGCCCGAGATACCCTGCTCCTGCTGCTGCTGCAACGAGTCGCTTTGGTAAGAGCCACCTGACCACACAACAGGTTACACACAGAGACACACAGAGGGGCAGAGGCGCAGACGAGCACACATACACACACATGCACATGCACACGCACCATGGTGTGAGTGAAGCGAAGGCTGCCAACTGGATTTAGACACAACAGGTGCCAAACAACTGCGCGTGCCCTTTTCCACCTCCCCCAACATCATCTCCCAACCTCTCCCGCTCCTATCTTGGGGCTCATCGTAGTCATCGAGCGAAGTGGCAGTGCCCTGCTCCTCAGCAGCAGTGGACGCCCCAGCAGTCACCGACACAGTGGGCGCCGACGACTGCCCTGCCTCGTCACTTCCAGCAAGCCAGCCCTGCCTTGACGCCCCTCCCTTCACGCCCTAAATCAGAACCATCAGCCGTCCATACACCCCGTTTCCCACCCCATGTCCCCTCTCCCCAACCCCTCTTAAAAAAGGCCAACCTCTCTCGTTCCTACCTTGGGGCCCGTCAGAGTCATCAAGAGACGTGGCAGTGCCCTGCCCCTCAGCAGCAGTGGACGCCCCAGCAGTCACCGACACAGTGGGCGCCGACGACTGCCCCGCCTTGTCGCCCCCGGCCGTTTGCCCTGCAGCGCGCTGCGAGGCGATGAGCGCCTCCCCATCGTACTCCACCACGCTGTCCCAGTCGTTGTATGCCATGGTCACTAGCCGGTCCACGTACAGCTGCATGCGGGGGGTACAGGCGCAAGGGGAAGAGGATTGTGGGGCAGGGGGGGGAGAGGGGGAAGGGAGTAATGAGCGCCTGACCTCCCCGTCGTACTCCACCACGCTGTCCCAGTCGTTGTATGCCATGGTCACTAGCCGGTCCACGTACAGCTGCATGCGCAAGGGGAAGAGGATCGTAGGGCAGGGTGGTGGCGTGGGGGAAAGAGGGGGGCCGATTAGCGCCTCCCCGTCGTACTCCACCACGATGTTCCACACGGGAAAGGGGCAGGCGAGAGAGGGTAAGGATGGGATGGATGGCGGTTAAGGAGAAAATTCTGCTGCCCCAGACGGTTCATCCTTCACCTCCCCTCTCCCTTCCCCATAACCCCCATACCCCCCCCTCCCCTTCTCCCTCGCCCCCCTCCCCTTCCCTCCCTCCAAGCGCACCTTCTCAGAGTCGGAGAGCAGGTCCACGGACATGTACTGGCCGTCAGCAATGAGCCCCATGAGCTGGAAGATGTTGTTGAAGATGACGCCGATGTTCTGCTTCTCGTCCGCGTAGTACACGTACAGCTTCCCGTTCAGCGCACACGTCTTGGCGTGCTCCACCACGCCCTCCCACATCTTGTTCGACATGCCCGACCCCAGGATCTGAGACAGAGGGGGGAAGGGGGAAGGAGGAAGGGGGAAGGGGGAAGGGGGAAGAGGGAAGGGGGAAGGGGGAAGGGGGAATTAGGAAAGGGGAGGAGGGAAGCAGGATTGGGAAAAGGGAAGGGGGAAGGGGAAAGGGCGAGGGGGACAGGGGAAGGGGGGAGGAGGAAACTCGAGTCGACTCAGACTGTCTTGGCGTGCTCCACCACGCCCTCCTATATCTTGTTCAACATGCCCGACCCCAGGATCTGCAAAGAGTGAGGGAAGAAGGAGAGGGCAATGGAGGAATTGGAAGAGGAGGAGTCTACGCAGGGGAGCATGCATGTGTATGCAGGGGTGTATGCAGGGGTGTATGCAGGGGTGTATGCAGGGGGGCATACAGCTCTATACGTGCAGCTCACCGAGCGCAGCCTCTGCGGGTCCATGACAATGAGGCGCAGGAAGTCCTCGACTGTCACGATGGCGGACTGGTTGAGGCGCTTGTGGAAGGCGCCGTCCTTGCCGATCTTGTCCAGCCGCCACACCTCGTCGTTCAGCTTCGGTGGGTAGTGCTTCTTGTACACTGCGGGCCAGGGGGGTGGGGGGGAGAGGGGGATGGGGGGGGAGGAAAGGGGCCGTGGGGGGAGGGTGGTGGGAGGGGGGTTGGGTGAGGAAGAAAAAGAGGGGAGGATAGGATTTTGGTCCTTTCCTATCTTGTCCAGCCGCCACACCTCGTCGTTCAGCTTCGGTGGGTAGTGCTTCTTGTACACTGCGGGAGAGGGGGGTGTGGAGATGAAGGGGAAGGGGGATAGCGTGCCGGCCAAGGCGGAGGGAGGAGGAGGGGAGGGGGGAGAAAGGGGGAAGAGTTGGCTGGGAATTCTGATATGCCATACCTCATCGTTCAGCTTCGGCAGATAGTTCTTCTTGTACACTGCGGGCCAGTTTTTGAGGCGCCTTAAACATAGTGCTACCTTTGGGGCGCCTCAGAATTGGGGGGGGCACGAATGTGCAGGTGGCATTTGAGAATTCTCAGAATCCAACCGCGTCAAAGATAGTGCGCCACGGCCAGAGAGGGGGGGAGAGGGAGGGGGGGAGGGGGGGGGGCAAAGGGGGGGGGGATGGTTGGGGGGACGGGAGAATGGGCGATGGGTAGTTGTGGGGCCAAGGACGGGCCTCGGGGAACAGGGAGAAGGTGACTTCAGTGTGGGGGAGGGAGAGGGGGGAAAGGAGAATGGTTATTTGAGCCGCCACACCTTGTCGTTTAGCTTTGGCGGGTAGTGCTATCCTGGGAGAGGGGAAGAGGGGGAAAGAAGGAGCTGGGAAGAGGGGAGAAGGGGGAGGGGGTTTCGGGGAAGAAAATCAGACAACAAGGAGACTGGGAAGGGGAGATGGCGGCGGGAGGGGGAGAGGATGGGGAACGGAGGGCAACGGAGGGCGGATGGAGGACGGCGGTCAGGGGCGGGGTAAGGTGGGGTGAGGTGAGATGGGGGAGAAGAAGGGAGCTGAGGAGACGTGGGGAGTGGGACGAGTCACAAGGTGTAAACATTGCAGGAGCACATGGGAACAAGGAAAAAGAACACAAACTTCTCCAGCACTCCACTTCCCGTCCCAAGCCCCCCCACCCCACCCTTCCCCTTCCCTTTTCCTCCTCTCCCCCCTTCCCCTTCCCTTTTCCTCCTCTCCCCCCTTCCCCTTCGCAAACAGCATCCGCCCAGCGCCTCACTCACGTTCCCCCCGGTGGTCCTTAACAGTGAACGCCTCAGTCTTGGCCTCCCTCACGCGCACACCCGCCCCCTCCCGCTCCTGCCCCGGCGCCACCCTGACGCCGAGGCGGAACTTGCGCGAGCGGATCCAGCTGCTGTTGTCCGTGAAGCAGAGGTCGCCCAGCGTGGCCCTTTCCCGTCCCAAGCCCACCCCACCCTTCCCCCGCCTTCCCCCCTTCCCCCATGCCCCCCTACCCCCCTAACCCAAGGCCATTGCCCCCGCCCTGCACCACTCACATTCCCCCCGGTGGTCCTTAACAGTGAACGCCTCAGTCTTGGCCTCCCGCACGCGCACGCCCCCGCCCTCCCCCTCCTGCCCGGGCGCAACCCTAACTCCGAGGCGGAACTTGCGCGAGCGGATCCAGCTGCTGTTGTCCGTGAAGCAGAGGTCGCCCAGCGTGCCCACGCCGTCCTTGAGGTTGAACGTCACCTCGCCCGTCAGCAGCGGCCGCTTGCCCTCGCGCTCCTTCACCACGTTCTGCTCAAACTCCTCCTGCCGGGGGGGGGGGGGGAAGAGGCGGGTAGGGAGGGGGGAGAGTTGGAGGGGAAGGCAGGGGGAGAGGTGCAGAGGGGGGTCCGGCCCGGGAATGTGGGATGAGGGTTGCGGGGCCACCACCCCTAGCTTCCTAGCTTCCCACATCACCACCTCTAGCTCCCCGTTTCAACATGTCTCAAACCTCCCCTCACCTGCGTCCAGTCGTCGTCAATAGGCTTGTTGAAGTCCCCTTCCAACACCACCACCTCCAGCTTCCCGTTCGACTCCGCAAGGTCCATGGCCGTCTGCCCCGTGTCCGCATGCTGTAGCACCACGTGCACCGCCTGCCCGCCCTCCCCCTCCACGCGCGCGCCCGTGTACAGCGGCAGCGCCAGCTTGCTGCGGAACGCCAGGCGCAGCTTGCGCGAGCTCTCCGGTGCGGGCAGCCGCTTGGGGTCGGGTCTGCGCGCGCGCGGACGGGGAGCGGCCGGGAGGGGCGCAAGGGGACGGCGGCAAGGAGAGGTGCGCGGAATGAGGGGGGAAGTGAGGCGGAATGAGAGGGAAGTGAGGCGGAACCAGGAGAGGCGGAGTGATTAGGTACAGAAACGAGAGGGGGGATGCAGGGGGGTCCGTCCGAGGATGGGAAGGGGGGGTCGGGACACGGGGAGAACGTGGGTGGGGGGGAGAGGGGAGTGAAGAATGGCGGATGGGTTATGGAGAAGGGAAAGAGAAAGCGGGGGGAGTTAAAGATTGATAAGTGCAGATGTTTTTGAACGGAAACGAACCTTCCAGGCAGCTGCGGTACATTGTTGGGCACAAGCTTCGCGAGCGCTTTCTCCACCTCTTCACCCACCTGATTACGATGGGAACCCACACACACACACACATACACAGACACACATAGAGAAACACACGCGACGGGGAGCACACAGGAGACACGCGCAGGAGCTAGAAGCAGGAGACGCGCGCACACGACGGAAGAAGTAGAGGGTCGTTCAGGTACGCGCAGGTAAGCGATCATGCAGATATCCAGCGTCTCTTGCGGGCAGTTTCGAATTGTATCGCCAAAATCAGATGATAACGTGGTGGGCAATCGAAAAAAAAAAAAAAAAAAAAAAAAAAAAGGCAGCGGTGACAATGCGGCCAGGGGATTATAGCAGAGCACCTATGACTTGAACCACGCACCACGCGTCGTAACAAGGGCTCGAGCGTGGAGCAGAGCTTCTGTAAACTGTCCATCTTGACCGCCTCTACAATTACACTGCGATGATAAAGAATCGAGGGTGACCAGCGAAGATAAGTGGTAAATACCCACAAACAAGTTCATTCGAGCATACGGAAAGAAACGGAGAAGGACGAAGAGGGGGGAATAAAAGGATTAGGGCAGCTGTGACATTCGAGCGGCGCAAACTAAGAAATCCGGCAGAGAGCCCCAACAAGGACCTCAGCAGAAACCGGTACGAAGCTCGTGTGCGTACTGGTAAAAAAGGAAAAGGCAAACGCTACACACGCAGGCATAGGCAGCAGAAGCTAAAAAAGGCCGACATAACAAGGGTAGTGCATCTAGAAGTGACCTGATAACAGCAAGCCACATTGTTCGCCGGTGCGGATTGGGCTAAGGACGGTGCAGGGAGTATGAGGCAGGCGCTGCAAATTTTCTAGCTTCAACAGGAGCAATACTAACCTTCAGCCTTCAGGCACGCGCTAAGATTTACAATACAAGCGTTCAAACCTATTGTAAGGCGTCTCGTGTACCAAGCTAGCTTAATAAGCGAAGTGACTCGTAGAATGGTCCAAGCGACGCTACCTCGCTAAAGCCGGAACTCGCTGTCGTTTCTCGGGCTGGTGCGGCGCGTTGCCATCTTCAAGCGGCCGTTTATCCCCCAGCCGCATTCGGTAATCCATGGCGCGTTTCTGCCCCGGCTATAGCACGCAGCTATGGTTATTAATGAGGCCGTCAATTGCTATTCTTGAAGTAATCAACTACGAACAACGGAGGAAACGGTACCAACACGAAAAAATCAGGGCGCCGTTTTTAGGAGGGTGGACCAACATCAGGAGCGACTAAGGAGGAATCCACTATCTACGTGAGTTAGGCTTACAGGCAGGAACTACAACAGCCGGAACGCAGGGCTTAGTCTCTTTAGCGGCTGCAAGTAAGGCTAACCTTGACCGTGGGTATTTCAAGAGTGCAATGGCGCCCAAGGTGTAAAAAGGGGTGCACTCGGACAGTAGTGTTCTAAGTAGTCAAGGTCAGGGCAGTAGGGCCTGCAATGCAAACGAATTGCATCTGACAAATGGGCTCGCCATTCCGGTCGAGGATAAAATGCTGGGAGGGACGTTTGACGTGCAGTGTGGAGGAGACTTCGAGGTGACGGCCAGGTTATCCTGACAGTGACCGGCTTGAAAGAAGTTCGCATACAGGTTACTTGAGGTTGACGACGATATGCGAAAGTCGTACACTCAAGTCAAGGTGCAGCTCCAAATTTTAGAATCGGGGTTTCGAACTTGACGGGTATCGAGGAACAAGGTGGTGCGTGAATTGCACTGGGCAGGTCTGAGGGGGAGGGTTTTCGCCTGATGCTTGAAGTCCATTAGCAAAGAGCTGACATTTGTAACTGCCATTGTAACGAGGGATAAGATTTCTGATGCATCACATATACGTTTATTTTTGGCGTGACTTTCATATTCATACGTTTTTTAACAAAAAATCCTTATATTCTATTTGTATCATTTATATTCAATAGATGATATTTAGCTTATATTTCTAGTGTGTGAAAGCTGGACAGTTAGTAGTATAATTTGTATTCATATGCCAGTTAATGGTTGCCACCTGTTGATAGAATGTCGCGGGTCCTTCCAAATCGGAATAATATCTGCTGGTGGTTCGGATGTCCAAATTGACAATTCAAAACCCCATGCTTGCGAAGCATCTGTGCATGAGATGGTATCCCGTCGCGAGCAGCTTACAAGGATTTCGCTCTGTCGCAAGACGTCGTGCATGAAGGCACCACACTACAGCACATCTCGATGGAACTTCGGCGCTCTGTGACTGGTGGAGACACAGCGTTTCCGAATCAAATTTCAATTTCGTAATTCGCAAACTCAAGCCCCTCGAGACTTGGGTTGGGTTGGAGGTACATCAGTAGCACCAACACAGCAGCGGCCAGCACCAGCAACAGAGGTAGCAGGAGAAGCGTCAGCGCGACACTAAATCAACGACCAGTTTCTCTTTTCCTCGACACTCGATCTCCTTCACTGCCTCCCTCAGACCCTCAACTCCCGCCATCGTAAACCGTCCGCTTGCCTATCTTTCCCAACCCTTCTTTCTCTTCATTTTACGGTTTCGTCACCTTCTTCAGCACGCCTCGCGGCAAGTGCCAGCGTGCCTGCTTTCAGGCTCCACCCTCAGCCCTTTTTCAATGGTGGGCTACAATCAGCTGATAACATATTCCCAATTCACGAGCAACGCCTTTCCAGAGTAAAATTCCCGCTAGTTAGCTTTTCAGCTTACTCAGCTAGCAATGTCGGCAGCTCCTGTCGTACGCGTGACTCGCGGGGACAGAAGCGTGGTTACGCGCTATGAAGTCGCGTTCCTCGTGCGGCAGTACTTGCAGGACTGCCAATTCGTCCGGACACTCGACGCGTTCCAGTCGGAAGCATCGAACCTTCTTGCTCCGATGCAAGCGGTGCGGGATCTTTCTTTCTTCCTGCAGCTATCTCGTTTCATGCGCTTGCTTCCAATACAAGCTGGCCAACTTGTTACGTCTAATTTCATGGAGTTTTCTTGTACGCCGTTCAACGGCGGCGTTTGCTCTTCCGATTGGCATCCTGTGATTTTGGTTCTCACCGCTCCAAGTGCTCTCAATCTCTTAACTGACCTTCCCATCCCACTCCCATCTTGCACAGGCGCCCGCACCAGCGAAGAGCTTAGAAGTCATTTTGAGCGACTACATAGTACTCTTAGAGGATCGCACGGCGATGGATAGTCAGAGGCGGCACGCGGACAGGCTCGTTCAGTCTCTACAGATGGCCATGGAGGCTTATAATGACGGCGTGGGTCCTGCCGGGGGTGCTGCCGCCGTTACAGCGGTTACCACTGCTCACGGCACCGGACCCGCGGGACACGCGGGACACGCTGGGGGGAATGTTTCTGCCGGGCACGCGCAACCGGCGGGGATGCACGGGAACGCGCAGCAGCAGGTGCCGGTGACGCAGCAAGAGCAGCAGATGCAGCACAACGGGCAACAGCAAGGGCAGCAACAGCAATACTACCAGCAACAACAGCAGCAACAGCAGCAGCAGCAGACGCAGACGCAGCAGCAGCAGCAGCGTGTCCAATACATGCAACAAGAGCAGCAGGCGCCTGCAATTAACCAGCCACAGCAACAGCAGCAGCTCTCAGCAGGTCGCCAGCACCAGCAACAACAGCCTAACGCGCCTGGTACGTGCGTTCTGCTGAGTGTTCTTCTACCCCCAGAAGTGCTGATAAAGATGGGTTTTATTGCAGCATACCAATTGAGAACTCTCGGTCTAAAGTAGTTCCAGGATTGTCCAGGTAAAGACATTTTGCTGTTTATTCTCCCACTCACATCCATGACCTCCATATATCATTCGGCCGTCATGGTTCTTTGTTACGTCTAGAAGTTACGCTGCATCTGGTGCTTTCATACTTAACGCTGTCTCTTGTCTTCCTCGCTCCGTTCATCGCTAGCTTCTGCTAAAACCCTTCTTTCTTGTTTTACCCTCTGTCCTCTCCGCCCCCCCCACCCCCCACTCTCCCCCCTCCCCCCCTCCCCTCTCCTCCCGGTATGCTCCACCGTCCGCTCTCATAACACCAGCGAATTCGCCGCCGCATTTCCCCGCATCAAGCGTTCCGCCTCAGCAGCCGGCGCCACCGCAGCAGCAGCAGCAGACATGGCCGGCCGCGTCTCCCCCACCGCAAACGGCGCCAGTTCCCCCGAAGGGCCCACAGGCGCGGGTCCCCGCCAAACCAGGGCGGCGCAGGCAGGTAAAAGGGGTCGTTACAAACGGGGATGGAGACGCGGAGATGGGACCAGGGGCGGGAGCGGGAGCTGCTGGGGGGAAGCCCGCGCAGGGGCAGGCCGGAAAGAGGGGGAAGAAGGCGCAGAATATCGGGGGAAATGCAGCGGGGGGAGGGGCGGGCGGCGGTTCATTGGCCGCAGCTGCTGCAGGAACAGGTGGTTTGACCAATGGAGGGGAGGCATCTGTGGCTCCTGTTTCACATGCTGACGTGGCAACAAAAGTGAGCAAGGTAGAGACAACTTATCAGCAGCAGCACACGCAGCAGGGTCAGCACCACGCTGGCTTGCCACATCATCAAACGACTCTGCCTTCCACACAAGCACCTGCGACCGCGTCTCATGTTCCCGCTCAGGTTGCAGCTCAGGTTTCCGCAGATCAGGTGATTGCAACAGACACAGTATCGGTCCAGCTTATACCAAGCGCAGGAGCAGGGCAGAAACCGGTGATGGCCGATACCCCCACGCTGCCTACTGCGGCTCCTGTTTCTGCTCTTCCCTCCTCCACCCATTCTTCGTCTCCATCTGCCCCTCCTCCTGTTACCGCTCTGCCTGTGGCGTCCCCACCGTCTGCTTCGGCTGGTGCTAGTCCAACCACTGTTTCAAGCACTGTATCTGCCGCCCCTTTAAATCCAGCCCCTGCTGCTGCTTCCACCACTCCTCCCATGTCTCTGACGGTGTCTGACGGGGCAACTGGCGCCAGAGCAGGTACCGTAACGGTGGCCACAGTTGCCGCTGCTCCTGTCCCTGTCCTCCTCCCTGCGCCGCTTCCTGCCTCTGCGCCAACCTACACAGGTTGCTCGGTATTCCCTGAGCTTGCTGTGGGTGAGACGTCCACTAGCAGAAGCCTGCTCGCGTCGTTTGCTGGCAATGCTAACACGGCGGCGACAGCAGCACCAACAACAGCAGCACCAGCAACAGCAGCACCAACAAATACAATAACAACAGCAGCAGTAGCAGCAGCAGTAGCAGCAAAATCGGAAGCAGCCCCTGTTCTAGCGAACGGCACAGCAGCAGCAGCAGCAGCAGCAGCAGCAGCAGCAGCGGGAAATAACGCTTCAGCAGCACCACTCACTCTACCTCCTGCTGCCCCTGCTGCTAGCACTGTTACTCCCACCTCTACCACTGTTGCAACAGCCAGAGCTCCTGTCGCTAGTCCTATTCTTCCCACTCTTCCTACTCTTCCTACTCCTGTCTCTGCCTCTGTCGCAGCTGCTGGTATCTCTGCTCCTAGTGGAGACACCCATCCTGCTGCTTCCTCCCCTTCCGTGCCGTCTGCTGCGCCTATCAGTGCCCCTGTTCATCCGGTTCATACCCTTGGCCCTCCCCCTGCTGCCGCTAACGCTACAACTGCGGTTGCTGCTGGTGCTCCTAGTGCTGCTGCTGCTGTTGCTGATGCCCCCAGTGGTTTGAGGTCTCAGCAGCAAGCGCAGCAGCTTCCACCGCCAACACCATCACCACAAGTACAGCCACAGCAACAGCAGCAGAACCAGAAGCAGCAGCAGCAGCCGCTGCAGCAAGCGAATTATTCGCCGCTAGTCCCGTGCCAGTCAGGCAAACCACTTCCTAACCCACCCCAATCTCCACACCAAGCCAAACTCGCCCCATCCCTTCTCCCCCCATCCATGCGCCGGTCCTCCCCCCGCAAGCAATCCACGCCACAGAAGCGCCAGTCCGCCGCCCTTTCCCCCCTTTCCCCCACCAAAACCTCCCCGCCCCTGAAACTCGCGCGGATCGGGACCAGCACCAGGTGCAGCGCTAGCATCAGCAGCACCTGCAGCGGCGGCAGCAGCAGCAGCAGCAGCCCTTTGAAATTCCTCTCCCGAGCGTACCATGCACAAGCGGGAAAATCTCCTGTGCGGTCGGGTAAAGTATCCGGGCTTGCCGCTATAGGGGTGATGAAAGCAGGTGCGGGTGCAAGTGGGATGGTGGGGAATGGGGTGGGAAGAGGTGGGGCAGGAGCAGCTGTTGCGGCTGTAGCAGCCGGGGCTGCGTGTGTGGCAGCCATGCCCGTGCCGTCCAGCCCGCGGAAAGTTTTCAGGGTGCCCGGAATCAGTGGAGGGGACGAGGCGTTTGCTCCTTTACCTGGTAGCGCCGCTGCCGCTGCTGCTGCTGCTGATGCTACTGCCGGTGCTGTTGGTGCTGGTGATGTGATGAGTGAGGGAGCGGAAAGAGGGGGGAAAGTAGGGGGTCTGGCAGTGTACACTGCAGTTATGAGCAGTCCAAGCTCATCTGAGGCCCCTTTCACTACGATGCTTGAGAGTCCTGTTGGGCAAGGGGGGAGAGGGCTGGGGCTGGGGTTTGGAATTGATGGTGCGAGTCCGAAGAAGTGGCGCGGAAGAGTGGGGATGGAGGGACGGCAGGAGACAAGTGGTGAAGTTATGCAAATGGAACGGATGCGAGGTGATGTGACAAAGAAGGGAGAGAGCGTGGAACTGGAAGGTAGAGTGAGTCCGCATGACAGGAAAAATGGGAGTGATTTGGGGGGGGTTGTGGCTGGTAGCAAGGGGGGTGGAATAGGGGGCAGCCCCTTGGGAAGGCTAAAAGGTGGAGGGAATCTGGGGATGAGTGAGGTTCTGAAAGGAGGTGAAGGGAAGGAAGATGAGAGAGTGAGAGAGGAGGGGTGTGAGGGTGATGGTGAGGGCGATGCGGAGGAGGAACATGAGGAGGATGGAGATGGGGAGCAAGAGAGCGGGGAAAACGGCAGCATGAGTACAGGATCAGGGGGGGTTTCAGGGGAAGAAGCATCAGGAGAGGGAGAGGGGGTGGCAGGGGGGTCGGGGGAAGCGTCAGGGGAAGCATCAGGGGAAGCATCAGGGGAAGCATCAGGGGAAGCGGGACCGGGCGGCGAGGATTTCGATCAATGGTTCCATTCACTGGTGTTAGACGAAGAGGATGTGATGGCGATTGTGGGAGACTATATCGTGAATGATGATGACCTTCCGGCTCGCATCGCGGATTGCATCAACTCTGCGAGCATGCGAGGGAGAGAGGAGGAAAATATAAGGTGAGCGTGGGGGTGGTGCTGGGTGATGGTGATGGTGATGGTGATGGTGATGGTGATGGTGATATTGATGGTGATGGTGATGGTGATGGTGATGGTGATGGTGATGGTGATGGTGATGGTGATGGTGATGGTGATGGTGATGGTGATGGTGATGGTGATGGTGATGATGTTGGTGATGGTGATGACGACGGGGTTTGCTTTGTGGTTGCCTAGAAGAGAGGATGGGGATAAAGATTGAGGGTGGGGATGGTTGTGGGGGTGTGCTTGTGTACTTTTGAGGCGCCTTTAAGATTGGGAGAGGATGAGGACTACAGGTGAGGGGGATGGGGATGGTCATGAGGATGAGACAGTTGCAGCAATAGGGAAGAGTAGAAATTGCACGACAGGCCCCACTCTCACACTCTTGCATCTTACCATGCCTTTTTCCATGTCGTTTTACAACTTCTTGTCGTGTGTCCCCCTTCCAGCCTACCAAGTGGAGAACTAGTGGAGGACATTTTAGCGAGTATAGAGGCCAACCCCCAGCTCGGGCCAATGCTGGGGCTCATGCCACCCAGCGGTCAGTCCGGAGCACCTTCACAAGGACCAGGGCCTTCTAGCAATGATGCCACGGCGGAACCGTGAATATTTTTCTTTTGGTTTCTGCTCTTTTCTTTTCTTTTCTTTTCTTTTCGTCTCTTTTTCTCCTTTACTGCCCTTTTATACGGCACGAGGGCTACAAAGCGGTGGTTATGAATGTAGTCCGTTGTCGGGCATTTATTAGCTGCGCGCTGACTTTGTGTACCAACTATACGTCGCTTATGATAAGGCAAGCTTTCAAGTAAATCAGGCGAGTTTGTCGAAGCTGCCGAAAATGACACTATACGCAGAAAGCTGGGATTATGATATTGCTTCGAATTAATCAGTTTGTGTTGTTGGAAACAAGTAACTTAAACGCTTCTGAAGTATCGAAGTATCGACACAAAACGGAGCAGACTACAGCGAAACAACACACGAGTCAACAAAAGCAACCGTTGGAGGTTATGCGAAGGTCAAAGGTCACTGACCTTTGACTCGACGAAAAAAGTACAGTGCGACAGCAAGGACACACAACTGACTCGATACTGAGCAGTTACCCGAGTCGTCACTGTATCGAACCGCAACAGCAGAAAACAGTTAAAGTAAGGTAGAACTTTTCATATTCCCTGTAATCATATAAAAGTCTTGTATGTCTTTGCTATTATCAACTTATCTTGTTCTCACACACCAGTGCAAGGTGGTTCAAGTATTCATATTATTACGCTTCCGCAAACTACAACATTCCTGCTTTAACAAGATCTTAGCCTTGAAAGATCCTAAGGGCTATTCCTCAGCCCAACATGGTATGAGAGCAAACAAGGCAAGATCGATTTCCAAAATGTCAAACATATGTGTTTATATTTCTCTAGGCTGTAGTGGGTTTAGCCTTAGGGGGTACATAATTTCTCTTTGACATTCTACTTATACCCCCCCCTTTCAACTAATGCCATCATTTCTCGTCACTATTCTAACATGGAATCAGAGTAGGTAACTTTTGGGCCCACCACCTGCTACTGCGCCTACCTCGTTCCTAGCCCCGCGCCCGCGATAGGCCCGTACCTAGCCCGCGCCCGGCCCTGTCTCACGCCCGCGCCCGGCCCGTACCTAGACCGCGATAGGCCCGTACCTAGCCCGCGATCGCCCCGTCGACACCCGCGCCCGGCCTGTACGTAGCCCGCGCCTCGTAGACACCTACGCCCGGCCCGTACCTAGCCCGCGCCCCGTCGACACCCGCGCCCGGCCCGTACCTAGCCCGCGCTCCGTCAACACCCGCGCCCGGCCCGTACCTAGCCCGCGCCCCGTCGACATCCGTGCCCGGCCTGTACCTAGCCCGCGCCCCGTCGACACCCGCGCCCGGCCCGTAACTAGCCCGCGCCCCGTCGACACCCGCGCCTGGCCCCTTCTCTCGCCCTCGCCCGGCCCGTAACTAGCCCGCGCCCCGTCGACACCCGCGCCTGGCCCCTTCTCTCGCCCTCGCCCGGCCCGTACCTAGCCCGCGCCCAGCCCCGTCTTATGCCAGCGCCCGGCCCGTACCTAGCCCGCGACCCGGCCCCGTACCTAGCCTGCGCCTTGTCGACACCCGCGCCCGCGCCCCGTCGACACCCGCGCTCGGCCCCGTACCTCGCCCGCGCCAGGCCCTGTACCCAGCCCGCGCCCGGCCCCGTACCTGCCCAGCGCCCGGCCCCGTACCTTGTTTGGCCCCTCGGCCCTGCCCCTCGCCCCCTAGTGTTTGGCCCCTCGCCCCCCCCCTAGGCCCTCGGCCCCTGTTCAGAGCCCAGCGCCCGTCCCTGTACCTGCCCAGCGCCCGGCCCCTTGTTTGGCCCCTCGGCCCCTAGCCTCGGCTCCTAGGCTCGGCCTCCTAGTCCCTAGTGTTTTGCCCCTCGGCCCCCCCTAGGCCCCTCAGCCCCAGTTCAGGGCCCAGCGCCCGGCCCCGTACCTGCCTAGCGCCCAGCCCAGTACCTAGCCCGCGCCCGGCCCCGTACCTTGCCCGCGCCCGGCCCCTTGTTTGGCCCCTCGGCCCCGCCTCTCGGCCCCTCGGCCCCTAGCCTCGGCTCCTAGGTTCGGCCTCCTCGGCCCTCTTGTTTGGCCCCTCGGCCCCCTAGGCCCCTCGGCCCCGTACCTAGCCCGCGCCCGGCCCCGTAACTAGCCCGCGCCCGGCCCCTTGTTTGGCCCCTCGGCCCCTAGGCTCGGCCTTCTCGGCCCCTCCCCTTGTTTGGCCCCTCGGCCCCCCTAAGCCCCTTGGCTCCGTACCTGCCCAGCGCCCGGCCCCTTGTTTGGCCCCTCGGCCCTGCCTCTCGGCCCCTCGGCCCCTAGCCTCGGCTCCTATGCTCAACCTCCTCGGCCCTCTTGTTTGGCCCCTCGGCCCCCTAGGCCCCTCGGCCCCATACCTAGCCCGCGCTTGGCCCCGTACCTAGCCCGCGCCCGGCCCCGTACCTAGCCCGCGCCCGGCCCCTTGTTTGACCCCTTGGCCCCTAGGCTCGGCCTCCTCGGCCCCTCCCCTTGTTTGGCCCCTCGGCCCCCTAAGCCCCTCGGCTCCGTACCTGCCCAGCGCCCGGCCCCTTGTTTGGCCCCTCGGCCCCGCCTCTCGGCCCCTCGGCCCCTAGCCTCGGCTCCTAGGCTCGGCCTCCTCGGCCCTCTTGTTTGGCCCCTCGGCCCCCTAGGCCCCTCGACCCCATACCTAGCCCGTGCTTGGCCCCGTACCTAGCCCGTGCCCGGCCCCGTGTTTGGCCCCTCGGCCCCTAGGCTCGGCCTCCTCAGCCCCTCCCCTTGTTTGGCCCCTCGGCCCCCTAAGCCCCTCGGCTCCGTACCTGCCCAGCGCCCGGCCCCTTGTTTGGCCCCTTCGCCCCGCCTCTCGGCCCCTCGGCCCCTAGCCTCGGCTACTAGGCTCAGCCTCCTCGGCCCTCGTGTTTGGCCCCTCGGCCCTCTTGTTCGGCCCCTCGGCCCCTCGGCCCTCTTGTTTGGCCCCTCGGCCCCTAGGCCCCTCGGCTCCGCCCCTTAGCTACTGCTACTGCTGCTCCTGAGCCCTGCGCCACTATGGCTTTGCTTAGAGTTCTTGCGTTCGACCCAGAGGGCAGGACTATAGCATTTGACACGTGGCACGACGATCTGCAACTGTACCTACTGAGCGATCTTAAGGACATTGTCTCACTGTTTGACCACGTGTCCGGTGCCGCTCCAGCCCCTCCCGCCACAGCTGACGTTTCGACTCGTTCCCAGTGGCTGTCTCGTGACGCTACTGCCCGCTTAGCCATTCGCAACCACCTGCCTGCGACCGAATGTGCTCACTTTGGAGAGCACAGGACAGCACAGGCCCTATACGACACTGTCGTTGCTCGCTACTCCTCCCCTGCCACTGCTGCTATTGGCAGGCTGCTACTGCCCTACCTGTTCCCTGAGCTGTCGGCATTTGCCACAGTAGCGGACCTGGTTACCCACCTGCGCACTAGCGACGCTCGCTACCGCGCTACCGTCCCTGCTGAGTTCCTTCCCACGAACCAGCCCCCCATGTTCATCACCCTCTACTTCATAGTTACTCGCCTCCCTGACTCCCTTCGCTCTGTCAGGGACCACTTCCTCACCCTCGACCCCACCTCCCTCACTGTTGACCTCCTCGAGCAGCATCTCCTCGCAGCTGAGACTAGTGCAGTTGCTGTAGGTGCTGCTCGTGGCACTCCGCGCTCGCCCTTCTTTGAGGGGTGCTCCCCTCCCCCCCTTTCCCCCTCCTTCGCCTCTGCTGCTGCTGCAGACGTCTCAGTTCCTGAGGACGTCGGTGCTACTTTGACTAGTGCGAAGCGCCGCAACAGCAAGGGCAAGGGTGGCCGGGGTGGTGGAGGAGGCAGCGGTGGTGGTGGAGGTGGCAATGGGAGCGGTAGTGGGGGCGGCAGTAGAGGAGGTGGAGGCGGTGGTGGTGGTGGCGGCGGTGGGACTAGTGGCGGCGGTGGCGGCTCTGGTGGCGGCGATAGCGGCAGCGGAGGGAGTGGCGGCAGAGGAGGCGGTGGGACCCAAGGTGGTAGGTCTGGACCTCGGCGCACAGGCCCTGGTGGTGGTCGGGGCCAGCACCAGCAGCGTCGGAGCGAGACCCAGACGTCCCAGCAGCTCCGTGAGTGGTTTGTTCAGCGTGGGACGGGTGAGGGTAGTGAGACCTGCCCGTATGTCATTCGCACGGGTGTCACACTGAGCGCCGCTGCTTTGCCCGCCTTGACGATGCCTCATCTGCTGAGTTTGGTGACGACGTCGAGCGCCTCCACTGGGCGGAGTTGCTTAGGTCGGGAGTTGCTATCTTTGATCTAGACTTTGATGTTATTATCTCTGCCATGTATGCCTTGTCTTTTAGTGCTGAGGGTGACTGTTACCGGTGTGTGCCGCCTGACCCAGGTATAGCCGCTGCTGCTCTAGGTGCTAGTGCGTCTAGTACTCCCCCTGGTACTGCGCCTGCTGAGGCCTTGC